TTTCAGGTCAACCTGCCTTCAATTTAATCATGTTTAATGTATTTCATATGTGAGAGCTGGCTGCTAAATGCGACCTGCTGCTTTTCCCTGAGCAGAGAGGTCACGTGTCTGTTATGAAGACTTGGCAGGTCCAGGATAGATATCAGATAACTTAAGATAATCTGCTAACTATTATTTGATTGATCGGCAAATATATTATTGTGATGGGGTAATACCAAGGTAATAATCGATTCCACTTTGTTTGTTTTAAAAGTTACAACCAAGTCTTTACAAAAGGACTAATTTAGGTCATGTTTTTAGCCTTTTTTTTTTTTTCTAGTTGCTGGTAATGTTGGTGAGTCAGTGATTGGGGGTTTTACTCACTACATCTCTACCAGCCACATGCTCTGTGTTTAAATATAGAAGTATATAAGAACAGGTCTAATCCTCTTGAAGTCAGACACTAGAGCCTGTCAGCAGGATAGTCATGATTCTGGGTGATTCATCAAAGAAATTAACTTTGCCTGTAGCGACGGGTACCGTGTTCTTTAGCTTCTGACCGGGGTTAATGTCTTGCGTGAAAGAGGCAAGCTCCTTTATTGCTTGTGACCCTGTTTCTGCCCTCCTGTCTACTTAAGTCCTCGGCTCATTCTGCTTTGTTTGGGTTGCAGTCAAAATCTCATAAGAAAGAGCACTATGCTGTTGCCGAGCTGAAAGCCTTTCGCTTAGACAAGATTTATTGAATTATGAAGTGCTTTATGAAGATATGAAAAAATATTAAAGTGATGCCAGTTCATTCTGTTTGGGTTTATGTTTAATAATCAAAGTGTATGAAATGAGTGAAGTTTCTTTTGCTATATAGCACTGGGCTGGTACTTAACACATTTAGCTGAATAAGGCTTATGTCAGATTCTGAAGGCTCAACAACTTGGTTTTGGCATCCCTACAATTTAACTTACTGAGTAATGGATTTACTGCTTTGACATGTTGTTTTTTTCTTAGATAAATTAGACTTAGCAGCAAGCTACTTACTTCTCCATGTAGCACAGCAAGCAACTTTAGATCTGTTGACTTTTTTTTTAGGACTGGGTTTTGTAAAAAACAAAAAAAACAAAACAAAACAAAAAAACAACAAATATGCCAATACAGTGTCTGAGATTCAGTATGCAGGATAAATATAAATTATAAAAATAATGATGTATAGGTGAATCCTTAATAAGCAACGGAGCCAGAAGAAATGTGTTATAAAAATGGTTGGATACGATAAGTAAAAATCTGGCAAATACATGTAAAATAATTATATTTTTTACTTGATTTAAATACAGTAAAAAAAAGTGTGAACAGCCTTCGATCTGTACAGATTTTTGACGTAGACGTTATGGACAGTTTTGGTCTGTCACTTGCTAATGATGATTTTACTAGATATTAACAATTCAGCAATTTCCCTGAGGTTTCCACCAAAGGGATCAATAAAGTTCTATTCTATTCTATTCTATTCTATTCTATTCTATTCTATATTATGTGTAATTTCACAAAACAAGAAAAATCTATAAAAGAACACCTAAACAAATGATTTACATGATTAAAAGGGTTTAATATACATATTGTTTTTGCAAATGTGTGTTAAAGTAGTTTTTTGCTCATTCAAGTACAATAAATATAGTGGGGTTAAAGTTTTGTCTTTTTTTTTTTTTTAGGGTTAGTGTGAAAATTAATACTTTTTCTGTGATTTACGAGCTATCATCTCTAATTTAACTGAACAGTATAAAGTGTTAAGAAAACTACAGTTAACAACTGTTAAAAACGTAGATGTTTTCCAGTGTAGCATCTCTAGTTGTAAGTTCCCGGCGAGCTCGGCCGGCTTTTTGTTTTCCTCTGAGAGTGACCAGATGTTGACGGCTGAGACCATATGGAAGAACAAACAGCTGCAGGGGGTTTGGGGAATGCCATCCGCTGCTACTGCAGGGTGACAGTCTTAATCCCTGGGCTTCAGACTGACACATGGCACACTCACAGCACTGAATGATAATTTGTGAGTTTTTCCTTGAATAGAGGAATTGCTTTTATGTTTGAGCATCACGCTAATCTGCCGTGATTTACACTGAGGGCAGCCGCAAAATTGGCCTGAAATCGGGATAATTAGTTTTACAAGGAACAAATGGAGAAGATGAGAGCTCCAGACGCATTATTAGACGTACACCAGTCTAGCGTCACTGTTTTCTCAAAAACAAACGGGCGTTTTTGATTATTATTGCTGCTAAACTGTCATAAATGTAAAGCATGCATGATTTAAAAGCCACATCTGAGCTGCAGTAACTGATGATACGTGGCTCATAGAGAGAGAGAACAAAGAATAAAGTAATACTGTCACGGATTCACTTTATAATGTGCGAACAAAGTCAACAAATATCGTCATATCTGCCGCAGTCTTTCAGGATTCTCGTTTCCTAAGGGATCCTTTTGTTGCTATTAAATGTATTTTTCTCTAAAAGACTGGTTTGTGGTTAGCCAGTGCAACTCTAGGTCAGACTTTAGGGGCTTAGTGCAGCGTTATGAATTCTTGTCCGGCGTCCAAATCTTACAAGATGGTTGAACACAAGCTGCCTTAGTGTTGTACTGACAAGTCTGTGTTTCAGCTACTCTTCTGCAGATACGTGACCTTGAGTAGAGTAAAAAAGAACACACCTCAGTGTAACACCATTAGTAGTGGTGTTTTTTTGTCTTGTTTTCATTCTCTCTTCCGCTTACAGATGCACACTGTATATAATTATACAGTCGTATACAGAAAGGTTTTAATCACTTCTCTATCTTCTTCACTACACTGAAGTGAGGCTGCAGTCACGAATCAAACTGCATAGATTAACATCTAAGATAGTAGAGATTAATTCACACAGCTTGTGCCGGGATGAGGCTTTTGAGTGTCTTCTTCCCCTGTCGTGGTATTCTGAAGCTCGAAGGCTGTCGGTCCTGTGGAGAACCAAGCTGTGCCTTGTCACGTTTCAAAGGGCAGAATGCCAGACCTGATTCCAGTCCTGCGGCATGACCCAAAATGGCAGCTCTCAGTTTGGCTGCCTCTAATGGTGTGTGTATGTCTGCACATGGTTGTGTCAGTTCACTACGAGTGTATGATATCATGTACTACAGTTGTAGTTTTCACAGGCTGTAATTGTGGACTTTGGTAATGTTGGTAAAATGTAGTTGTTAGAAACAGATGAATTACTTCATGTGTAAATGGTCTTGATGCTCCAAATATCTCACCTGGTGGAGCGTCTGCTCCATTTACGAAGGCTGAGTCTGTATCAGTGTGGTTTGAATACCAACTAGACCTGCAACAATTAATTATTCAGTTAGTAAGTAAACTATGAGATTAATTGCCAACCATTTTGGGTATACAGGAATCAGTTTTTAAAGTAATAGAGGAACAATTCTCTGTTTCTATGTAAATATTTTCTGGTTTCTTTCCTCCTCCATGACATCAAACTGGATATCTTTGGGTTGTTGAATAAACAACACATTTAAGGACGTCATTTTGGGTTTCGGGAAACACTGATAGACATTTTGTAGACTAAACAACTAATTAGTTAGTCAAAAATAATCAACAGTTTAATTGAAAATGAAATAAGGTAGTTGCAGCACTGCTTCCAGCCCTTTGCTGGATGTCATCCTTCTCTTATTCCTGCCTCTCTGTAGCTGCTTCTATAATAAAGATCAGACATACCCCAAAACAATGAAAATGGTCAAGATATTGAAATACAATGCAAATACATTTTTGACTCAACTATCCGACCCTTAACAATCCGAAAACCTTGCTATCCGACAGGTTTTTAGGAAAAGCGAACGGAACCCATTAAAAGTAGCCTTTACATACCGACAGCCTTGGATTCTGACTCCAACATGACTTTTTATGTCATAAATCAGGATAACGGCGTATTATCTGACTGAACAATCCGACAGATTAGCTACGTTCAGACTGCAGGACTTGATGCTCAATTCAGATTTTTTTGTGAAATTCGATTTTTTTGCGAATTTGTTCACATTTACAATTAAATGCGACTTGTATGTGATCTGCTGTGTGAACTTCATACGACCCAAAAGTGTCCCACATGCGCAGAAGAGGACACGACGACGTCACACACAGCGAGCGTGCTCAGTGTTTGAGGAAGTAAACATGGATGGTAACGGTGGAGCGTATCTGCCACTCCCACCGATGGTGGAAACAGAACTGTGACCGCTATCCTAAACTAGCATCAGCAGCCAAGTACTGGCTATACGTTCCGGCCACTTCCACCCCGTCGGAGCGCTCCCCCGGGGTAGGAGTGCCCCCCCCCCCGCACCGTGCCGAATATTCGGGTAGTCATCATTAATTCGGCCCAAATATCCAGAGACCAGAAAGTGGTATTGGGACCAGCCCTACTAGTTATTATAACAACTATAACCAATGAATATTTATAACAAATGAGCCTTCAAGCATCAAGCCCTCCTTGTATCTTGACCTCCGTCTTGACAATCCGACAGCCTTGCTATCCGACATAAAAGAAGGTTTTACATTTAGTGTCGGATTATCGAGTCACAACTGTATTTGACAAATCTGTAGCACATGATCAAAAAAATGTGGTGAAATAATAAAGATGTTAAGCTGGCTTTAATTGTGATTCTCTAGAGCTTTGATTGCATAAACAGCATATTGTGTCTGTTCTGCTTAAGATCAGCATGAAGTCCTGTGATATAGAACATTGATGTTGTAGCCAGTTAGTAGAACAAAAGAACTATGTTAGTTCTATTTTAAAATATTCAAACTTCACTGGTCTGTATACAGTAAACACAGGGTGGTTAAGCAGAAATCTGTGACAAAGATGGAAAACTGAACTGGAAACTGAGTCAATGTGCTTTACTCCAGGATTCCCCTTCAGTGTGTCTCCTCTCTCTGTTTCACCGCTCATGCTTCTGAATATCAATTAAGTTGAAAGTGTTGAGTCACGGCCGTGCATGATTTCAAACCTTTGTGTTTTCTGTCCTCACAGAGCCACCATAGAGGAAGTGGAGGGGGATGTGTGCGAGTTGGAATCCAAGCTCGACAAAGTGAGTACCACCCATGAAAAACATTGCTTAATTGTTCCTTTGCTCCACTGTGTGAACTGGCAGCTACAAAGGCCATCCTGTAAGGTGCAGGTTTGTCTCTGGCCTTGTCCCCAGTAGATTCCCTGGCATATTGCCTGTTGAGTGAGACTTAAATATAGACACAGAGCGTCTGAAATATGTGGGCGTTCATGTGCTTCAGATCTATATGAAGAAGAACAAATGTACACTGCAGCATGTGCTGTAACTGGACAGTTTAGATGCATAATTCCCAGCATGACTCAGTGTGTCAGATGTAGCAGTGGGTGTGAGCAAATCTTGTCTTATTTCACTGCTGACACAGTGGAAAATAAACACTAACTGCCAAATGGTGGTTCACCTGTGTCTGAATAATTCACTGCAGGAGCCTTTTTGCAGTCACACGTTGTTGATCACAATCAGAAATGTGAAAAATGCTATCCGCTGTGGCCAAGACCAGTTAATTGAAAAAAGGTGGGAGCCACAAGAGTCCGTATGGTTGGATTTTTATGCCAAACTATGATTGAAAGCAAGGTGTAATCTCTCCTAAAATCAGAATTCATTTTCACATTTGCTTTGACAATTATTCATTTAACAATTCTGTCTTCAAAGCAGACATTTTAAAAATTATTTTCACTGCACAGTAAAACAGAAAATCATTGACTTGGACACAAAGTAGCATTTATTTAACATTTAGTTGTAAGACTTCTATGCTTTTGGTAGAGATTTTTTTTTACAGCAAAATCTGCAGCATGCTCGTGTCCTTTCATGTCTTAAATGTATGAAACATTGCATCTGTGTCGTATTCATTGTTTCAAACCCCACTAAGCTTTTGCTGACATGAAAAAAAAAACTAGAACTACACGGTTGCTTCACAATTCCTGTGAATTCAGAGAACTCACAAAAGATCTTCCCAAATGGATAGTTTACGTCTATGGACTACTGCTGGCAAACACTTTTTCTTGGACATGCACACAGAATGGTTTGTCTTTGAGGTGTTTCCTTACAAATGTCCAACTTTTTTTCTTGCAGTATTCCCAAGGTAGGCTTGTTTTTTCTCAGTGCTCCTTTATCTCCAATGTAGGGTTAATTTTTGCTGTCATCTTTTAAAGTTAGTAAAACTGCTCGCTCCAAGCAAGCATGGAGAATGCAACGTGTCTGCATATGAACATAAAGACCTAAAGCACACATTGACAGTGATTGGTTGTTTGTCAGTAAGGTGAGTTTCAACACATCGTTGAAGTTGTAGGAAAGTTAACGCAGCTCCAGCATGTTGTCGTCTCCTACACTAAACTTAAGATGAGGATCTTTTCATTGTCATAGCTTCCCATCTGCAATGTGATTAGCTCCATATTAGCACTAGTCCCGAGTGTGTTTTGGCTTCTTTTTGTTTTGCTTCACTTTGGTAAGTAACTGCTAGTGTTCACATGGGAACCTCTGTTTGTAACGCCAATAAATTCTTGCCTTTCGGGGGTTTTTTCATGCAGATGCTTCAGATTACTTTCTTGTTTCCAGCAAACAGCATCACAGTTGATCTCACCCACTGTGTTCATTTTAACTAAACCACAGTAATTAACCAACCAAACAAAGTGTCGTTAATCAGTAGATGACGATGGCGAACCAGCCCCTCCTCTAAATGGATCCCTGCAGAGTTGAAAGTATGTTCGCTCGTTGAAAGCGCGACCTCGAGCCTGGAAGAAGCCAGTTCATTGTTCCTGGACTTAGTCTTACAGAGTCCCACCCTCCTCCTCACCCCACCCCACCTCTGTGACTCAGCCCCGGCCTCATTTCCCTTCTTGCTGGGGAGAGGAAGGATCTGCCAGAGAGTGGGTGTGTTTGTGTGCATGTGTGTGACTGTGATAGTGTGTGAATGCGTTCGCGTTGGGTGGAGTCGTGGCCGAAGGGACCAGAGTTCAACTTTGTCGTGGAGCTTCCTACCTGCTGTCGTGTTGCATCAAAAGCAAACAGACTTTTAACTGTCATTGTTAAATCTGCTCCGATAAGGGCTATTTAATTTATGTTTAAAAGCAGGAAGCAGTATTAAAGGTTGTCTGGTGTCCTAAAGTTTGGTTTTGCATCCAGCAGTGGTCTCTCTTTTGAACTTCTGAAATTTGATCAAGAGAAAAATAAAACAACCCACATGGATACTTTAAAAAGATTTCTGAACTACCGTAAATTCCAACTATTGAATATAAGCCACACCCACCAAGTTTTGTACATATATAGGCCCACTTGTCTGTAAGCTGCAGGTGTCCACGTTTTAACATGAGATATTTACACAGAAAGATTTTTTTCAACTTTTGATTAAATACGTACCATAAATGCTTTTTTCCGAGCAGTGCCTGTAACACGGCTGGTTAAAAAAAATAAAAACTACAGTATCCTACCAGGAAAAGTCATTGATCGCTATCTTCATCTTCCTCCTGCACTAAAACCACTAAAGTCGTCTTCTTCAGTGTCGGAGTTGAACAGCCTCAGAATTACTTCATCACACATTTCCTCAGTCTCTTTCGTTGTCGCTCTCAATGTCACTTTCGTCTCAGGGCAAATTCGTAAAACTCGCAAAAATCCAATAATTAGCTGCATCATTGTTTAAGCCACAGTGTTCAAAGCGCGTGAAGAAGGTAGTCCGGAATTTACGGTAAATAAAAAATCAGATTTAGTTGGACTTCACAGTAAACTGCAAACACATCAACATGCAGAGAAGCAGGAGAAAGTTTAGTTAAATTATATTTGAAATGAGGCAGCTTTAAGTTTGAAGTCCTGATTTGTCTGATCCAAATAGGGTGTAAAATTTGTCAATGTTTAGTAAAGTGCATAGAGTACGCCAGTAAATGTGTGTGATGACATGAGTGGATGGACCAACAGCTAAAATGTAATGTGCTATGCAAATGTAGAGGACATGCAAAGCCTGGTGGTAAAAAGTGGGTGTTGACGTGACGTGCACGGCTGTTGGATAAAGAACCATCCACCTTGTCCTGTTAAACCTCACTGAAGTAGCTGCTCAGTTGCTGTAAGTCAGGCGTATATAGGTCACTTTTAAAATTGCATTTTGCTTTCTTAGCTTTGCTACTGAGACAGTTATATGTTTGGGACTAAAATAATTTGTTTTTGATATAAGACAATGTTTTTTTTCAATAAACTGCCACATTTTGAGTGACAGAATAATTTAGATTAGTTATGTAAGCTGTGACTGGAGAAGCTGCCTTTATTTTATCTCCCCTTTGATTCCAGTCCCTGATTTACTTGACGCAAAAACACCAAATATCCGTCATCTAATTAGGTCTATCTGGAACCAGAATCAAGCGGTTTGCGTTTCATCAGCTTTTAATTAATTGACTTTAATCATGCACTAATCAGGGAAGGAGTTGCTTAGAATGAGCATTTTTACTTGAGTTATTTAGCTGCTTTCTTTGGCTGCAGATCCATATTCAGGCTCTGTATCATCTCTTGTGTGGGAGCTGATGGAGAACTGCCAGAGTTTGTCGTGAGTTTACATAACCTGGAATTATCTTTGCCCCCAATGAGTCAGAAGGGAAAAAAAGTGCCTGCTGTTAATTACCAAGAAACTGAGTAAGCACTAAGCATCTTATATTTTAGAATCCTTTGCTGTCAAACTCCAGGTTCCTCCAATTTCCTGACTGTATTTTTAGCAGCAAACCTCCAGTTTTTAATAAGAGCGAATGCCCTGAAGAAATGACCGGCACTGTTTCTAGTTTCCATTCACTCCAGTGTTATCGTCTTTGAATGCATTCCTTCATTGCTCTGTGTTCTGCCAGTTAACGTTTGCCTCCTCCTCGTTCTCTTTCTTCTGCTAGTTGGTGAAGTTGTGCATCGGGATGATTGATGCTGGAAAAGCCTACAATGCAGCCAACAAGCAGTTTGTTAACGGCATCCGGGAGCTTGCCCAGCAGTCCACCAAAGATGAGGTCATCGAGGTAAACAATAAATAATCTCACTTGATCTGAACCTTAGAGAGCCCTCGCCATTAGTGCTGTCACAGAGTTTTTTGTTTGTTTCTGCTTGTTGCCTGTGCAGGCCTCCTTAAAATATTCTGTCAAACTATAATAATCTTCAAATATTTGCAAAATAAACAAACATCAGCGCTCGAGTCTGTACAGAGTAAAACCCTAATTGACTTCTTCGTTGCTCCCAGATGTGAATCCCAGATGAGCACTTCCTCTCTGCTTTGTTTTCTCTCTTGAGCAAAGTGTTTTTACCGTTGATGACATTACCAGATTAATCTAAGTTTTAAAGAAAAACAAACGAGGGCTAGTAAAACCTCGTACTGTCCGCTGGGTCTCGCAGAGGTCAGATGTTTTGTTTTCTCATATGAGTTTTGCATGGCGCGCCAAGCACTTCCTCTCTGCCTTTGTGTATTTTGTTCACTGCCTCTCCCTTAGGTTTGAACTTCAACCACTTGTGTGTTTGGAGAGAGCTACTTAGCCAAAAGAATTCTTTCCTAAAGTGCTATTGTTTCTACAAAAAGACCAGGTTTTCCTTTTAGCCATACCTGAAAAGCCGATGTTTGGGGTGTAGCATGCAACAGAAATTTGCATTTCGTCCCATTTGTGCAGCCTTGTTTTAACACAGCTCTTGCTATCCCTGTGCTATATTGTGTTTTATAACTTTGTCTTCATCGCTAAGCGCTATCTGCCTGCCTGCCCTCACGACTGTCCTCCTTTTCTCTCCACAGTCCAGCCTCACAAAGTTTGCCGAGAGCCTGCAGGAGATGATCAACTATCACACGGTATGTTGTCACTGCCATGTGAAACCGGATGTATTGTCATAATTTGTTTCCACTTGACAGCTGGGTGATGACAAAACCCAGATGGGCCAATGGTTTGGAACAGTTTTTTTTTTTCACTGTCAGAGGCTTTATTTACTGCTGGGAAAGACGGCAACAGACAGAGCAGAGCTAATGTGTCTGTAAGAGGAGGGCCGGTTTGAGAAGCAGAAAATGGACAAGAAACGCTCTTCGGAGGCTTCGCCTGGTGTTGAGCATTTGTGGTTGATTATGAAGAAAGCAACAATAATGAGCAGCTTCCAGGTGGGATTTCATATAAGTGGGAAGCAGGGTGTTGCTGAAAACATGCCCGCCAGTGCAGCAAACACTGCCCTCCATAAAAGGTGGTTAGAAGAAAGCTCTTTGAGTCAGCTGCAAAAAATCTTGTGTTTTTTTCCTTTAACCATTAGTTAAATGTCAACAAAGCTTTGGGATTTCTTGTCACATAAAACAGTTACTTATTCCAGTATAAAAAAAAAAAGTCCATGGGCTAGGGAGAGGAGTTTCCTCTCTCATAAAATCTATTCCCTCTGTCTCATGTTGTGGAGTGTTGGAATAAATCATGCATCACTAGGGTAAGCATGGTCATGGTCAGTCTTTACTATGTGGTCGTCAAACCTTAGACAGCTGAAATACAAGCAGAACCATTCATGGCTTTAGCTGGAGTAATGTAGGTATTCTGTCAGCCTGAAAGATTTAACTGCCTGGTATTCTAATGCATTCCACTAGATCTTAGAAAATAAAGGCACATGAGGCTCATCTCATGCTGTTCCACTCTTCAAGGATCCCAGTGGAACAGATTTAATTATAATTATGTTCCTCTCCAGTCCCCGTGTTAGACTCCTCAGTCTCTGGTGGACATTTCAAAATGGAGGCACAACTTTGCTCTGTTTGTCCTCTCGCTAAGACCGTCTCAGACGCAGAGAGGAGGCACGGCTGGAGGCTTTTCTCTCTACAGCCAATGTTCATTTCTTGATCGCTCTTGTCAAGTCGTGTCTCCGTTAGCTCTACGTAACATGTCCAGAGTGAGTTTCCAGCCAGCACGACGCTGTCATTGCCATTATACGCTATTAGAATCAGCAACTACAGCTGAGGTTACTTCTGCTTTAATGTGACCTTGGTTAATGAATGTATACATCTAGTATCTTTGGGTTTTGTATTATAAAGCAGTTTGAACACATCATCTTTGACTTGAGGGGGAAAGTGTGCCTTCATTAGCTGGATAAATAATTGATTGATAAACAAACCAGGAGATTCTTCAGTAATGAAAACGTATTCACTTGCAACCTCACTTTAATTAATACTTTTCTCACAAGCCTCGTGCTTTAATTAATTATATCGCTGTGAAGACTGAATGTTCCTTTGCTCGTTATGGAATGGACAACAATATATGAAATGGGGACTCAGTTTTACATTTTGATGGCTCTTTTTGTTTCGATTTGTTTGAATTAGCTTGTGTAGACAGTTTTGGTTCTGCTTTTAGACTGTAACCCGGCACATCTAGTGCTGGTTACTTTAGATGAGATGTTCTATGTCCTATTAACTAGTGGAGGAGCTTGAGGGTGGGCGGTTAGAATAACTAAACTCTACCAGGTCCTCTTGTTACCTGTCTAGACTAGTCCCCTAAAAGTCTCCAGGAGCCACAGTGCAGGCCTGCGACTGTTATTCGTTGGCAGAGACTGTGGTCACATCAGCTGACTGTCAGATAAGTTTTTGCCACTCAGCGATCTTTCAGCACATGATCGGCTCAAACACAGTGCTCAATCTGTTTGTCTCTGGTAGCCTCTCCCGGCCACACTGCCCATATTGTCTTGTCCGACGACAAAATTGCATTGAATCCCTATTTAAAGCGTTTGTGGGGCTTTTTGCTGGGCAGCTTATTTTTAAGGAAGCATGCAGATTAATGAGGGCATGACTCACCAGCAAGAAGAAGCAACTCACGTCATTTCTCGTGTTTATGTCTTTATGGGGGGAGTTTACAAAGTCAGCGTGTTTGTGTAAATTTAGCTGCTTAATTGCACCCTGTGATGTTAACAAAAATCCTCCTAAACAGAGATGCTGAATGCTGACTTGCAGTTCATGCGGCGGCCTGGAAGGGGAATATATTTATCAGCACCTTGTTGCTTTCTTGGACAAGTTCCTTAAAATGTTTAATGCTCGACTTGCTCATCTAACCAGAGAGCAGCTGTTTTCTAAAATGGACGGAGCGAACACTCATTCTTTTTCTTTCTTTACAGATATTATTCGATCAGGCCCAGAGATCAATCAAGACCCAACTTCAAACATTTGTCAAAGAGTGAGTATTGACTGACTAAGGATCAATGAAACGGATTATTTCTTTGAGCAATGTGACCTTTTGAAGAATGACCTAAATTGAATTTTTCTGTGATGACGTGTCCACATCCAATCAAAAGCAGGAACAGTGGACATATTTGAGGTGAACACTGTGTGTTTATACAACAGATGCAGAATAGAGAAAAGAATATTCTTGAAGTATAAGCTGGATGGATGACATGGGCGGAATATGAAGATACAACATTGTACAGGATAATGTTTTCTATTTAAATCTACACCTCCTATCTCCCTGATACAGCTCAGACATTCAGACTGATCGTGTAATTACAGGATGCAGTTGCAGCTCTGGTTTACTTCATTATGAGGATTAGCAGTTTTTGCCCCCCGGCACACCAGGACTAAACACCCACATCAGCAGCACCCATACTTCTCAGAGAAAGCTGGGAAATATGTTCCTTCACAATTAATCAGAACCTTGTAGCACTCTGATGTGACTTAACCGCATGCAAAGAACATCAGAGAACAAATGTGGGGCAGACAGTTTGAGGACTTTGTCCAGAGCTGGGTCAAGTAGCAAATACTTTTGTTTGTTTTAACCTTCTTGGATTTCCAGGGGACTAAGACTTTGACCTCTTCGTGTTCCTGTCATCCAGACATGCTTGTGTTTCGTCATATTTAAAGATAACTTTCCTTCCTTTTACAACTCACCTTTTGCCCTTACATCATCATTAACAAGCAAAAGGAAATGTCTGAAATCAGCATAATCCCAGAGTTGGTGAAAATCCATTCAAGCTTATCCCTAAATTATGTAAAAAATTCCATTATGCCACTCTGTGTGTTTTAGAGCTCTACAGTACCGCATTTCTTTTGCATACAGGAGAGGAATTTGGTCATTATCTTGGGGTGGCACGCAAATAATAAAAGCCATAACTGAATATCAAGAATTCTATTATGTTGTTGTCGTATAGAGGCAGGTTAAAAGTATGTCAGTATGAGAGTTAAGGAATCACATACTGATATGTCTTGGTGTCATATCTTACAGTGCAGGTTACTAATTATTTGATGTACACAGACTGATACAGGTAAAGGTACCAATAGCATTTTGGTTACTAGGGTGAGCACCGTTCAAAACAGTCCAGGAGAACAGACGCTGTGAAATATTTGAGGGGAAAAATTCATTGATAAGCAAAATATCCACTGTTTAGTCATTCAACTCTGAAAATTCTGTCCATATGTGAGGATGAGGGCTGCAAGGTGGAGAGGTGGTTAGCACCGTTGCCTCGCAGATAGAAGGTTGCCGGTTCGTGTCCTGGTGAGGACACCCGGGATCTTTCTGCGTGGAGTTTGCATGTTCTCCCTGTGCAGCATGGATCCTCTCCGAGTTCTCCGTCTTCCTCCAGCAGTCCAACAACATGTTGAGGTTAATTGGTGATTCTAAATTGTCCGTATGAGTAGATAGACTGGTGACCTGTCCAGGGTGTCCCCTGCCTCCACCCTAAGTCAGCTGGGATAGACTCCAGCCCCCCACGACCCTAGTGAGGATTAAGCGATAATTAATGGATGTTATGACTCCTACAAAAAGCTGGAGGCAGCAAACTAAAGGTCACCTCCTATTAACACTGGGGCATCTGTGTGTGTGTGTGTGTCTCCATCTACTGAAGTCACAAACCGTCTTTTGAGCTTTTGATCAGTTTTTAATGAATGAAGTTGATCCATCAGATCTCAGGTGGTCAATGAGATTTCAGGGATGCTGCTGAATTAATCTTAACTTCTGACAAGATTGTCAGCGAAGATCAGTGTACAAAACTTTAAATAAATGTAGTTTTAGAGCCCCTGCAATAGCTCCACTCTGTACAGATAACAAAACAAGTAGAGGTAGTATAACTGGTTGGGAATATTAATATCAACGAAGGCTACGTTCACACTAATATGTTTTCATTTGAAAATGCTCAACTGTACATTTCCACCTACCATCCATTCTGCTCCAGCGTTTTAGGACTCCTGAAAGCGGAGACTTTTGAAACACGGCTGACCCTGTTTTAGTTTGGAAACTCCAGGGGTTGCAGTTTAGTTTGGACAGGCAGAAGTGGAGGCTTTAGGAAATGATGCTATAGACAGTTATGTATTACGTAACTATGTTTGTTTCCTGATTCATCACATCCTATCACCTGACTGTTTTCTGGAGGAAAACAAGGACATGTGCCTTCACTGCCGGTGGTTAATTCAGCATGGATAATAAATTACAGGCGGTGCTGGTTTTGTTTATTGTAAGCAGCTGTTAAGGAAGTCTTTGGTCTTGCTATTTACCATTGCATGAGCTAAAATGCTTGTCAGGACAGAGATCTTTTTCAGTTTAAAATGCTGTTTTTCAATGACAAAAAATTAAAGTGGTTATCACCTAAAATACAATTACTGACCTAAATAATAAAAACTAAAAGTACCTTCACTTTTATTGGCAGCAGAACTTTCTAAACGTAATTCCCAGTTTACACTACCATACAATTAAACGTGCTTCTATGATGAGGACTGACGGCATTGTGTTCATACTAACGACCCTCTTTTCCTCCTGTCCTTTCCAGTGACCTGCGTAAGTTCAAAGAAGCCAAGAAGCAATTTGACAAAGTGAGCGAGGAAAAGGAGGCAGCGCTGATAAAAAATGCTCAGGCTCCACGCAACAAACAACATGAGGTGGAGGAAGCCACTAACATCCTCACTGCCACACGCAAGTGCTTCCGACACATCGTCCTCGACTACGTCCTACAGGTACAACGGCTCGACGTCGGATTTAAATTGTTTCACTGCTTAAATGACAAGATCACAAGAGCTGTCAGTTTGTCTGATTGGTGGCCAAGTAGTAGGTCAGTGCATATGTATACTTATCCTCAAAATGTGCTAAAGATATAATATAAAAACCATGTCCGTAAGTATTACTGCACTGCTGTTACAGTGAGATTTTAGTCCAAATCTTGCAGAGCCATCAAACAGTACACTGTGTTCCCGAAAGTGATGCAGTTTTCAATGAGACTATATATAGCCATAGATTGCTGACATGCAGCATTTAACACAGAAGCTTCAAAACGCTGAGCTGTAACGTACAAGATCTCCAACATGTCTTTTTACATATTACGCTGCGTCGGGTTAAAAACGCTGACGTGGCACGGAGCAGAATGAACCAACAGCTGTGTTTGATTCTGTCACATCCAACGAAAAACGCTCGTCCACCTGTCTCGCTCCAGTTTAGCACATCAGATTAGATTCAGCTCAGAAGCAGCAGTGCTTTATACAGGGACAGTCGTAGTAACAGGAGATAGTAGTAGGTATTGAAAAAGACGTTATTGTACATAGTGATATGTTATATGTATTTACACTTGCCAGGAGGATAAAAAAAAGTCAGCAAAGGATTGTACGACAACTGGTGTGCACACATAATACATAAATATATAAATGAATGAAATTCTGCCATCTTCTCATGTTTATATTCATTCATTTTCGGACCCACATCAGCTCATGTAACATTAATACATAACAAGAAATGGTTAATCTTGTATCACGGCAATATTCTTGGCATCATGTCTGACGAAGCACTGTGGCAGAGAAGTGATTCATATTTTTGGGTAGGGTAATTTGAAAATAGCAGCAAAGGAAGAAGTCAAGAGGAGGAAGTTTATAAGAGAACAACTGCAAAAAATATGTTTGATATAAAAAGTGTACATGTCTAGCAGTACTTGAGAATATGTGTATGTATGTAAAGAGAATATGTCCGGTTTTACCTTCTCATTGGTTGGATACCCCACAATGTTGGAGCTATTTTGTAGCGGTTGAATCATCTGTAGTGGTAAACGACACTCAGGTGACTAGCTTTGTTTTTTAATCAAACACTGCAAACAATATCTTCTCTTGTGCAAACTCTTTCCTTCTTCTTGTTCTCAAAATTTCCCATCTGTTTAGGTGTGTTAGACCTTTTTTTTTTCCCCCTGTCAAAGCTACATAAACGTCTTGTACTCTGACCTTTCACGGTGAAAAGTGCTCATGTATCATTTAATACATCAGCTGTGGTCTTGTTGTCCTCTCAGCCACAGCAGCTCTGATGAATGCTGTGTGGTTTCTGATAAAGCAGCTACCAGCCCTTTTATTGAATCTCCCTCCAGAAGAACAGACAATACTGTACTGGCACAATTCAGCCCAAAATTAGAAAGTGAATAGAAGCCCAAAAACAGGTTTCAATATAGGTTTGGCAGCCTGCTCCAGTGGCCCACTGCATAATCGCTCTTTCATAAAATGAGGCCCGACTGTGAGAAATTAGTTGAGTTTTTATCTTGCCATTTACCATGCTTATAGGAAATCTATAAGCTAGCAGCTAGCTCAGCTGATTTAAATGGGTCGCATTTAAAGTTTCGCTTTTGGGAAGTGCTGTCAGCACTTTAAGAATGCAGCTAACTTTTGCAGCTGTGCTTTCAGGAAACATTTGAGACAGATTTTAGCTTCATTTTTTGTTCTTTTTAGATTGTTTTTGTGGCAATTTTGCTTAATTATACAGTACACAGTTTACAGTGACATGCAAGATGGTAGAGGGAGAGGAAAATATATGAGAGAGGCTGTAAGCCAGCCTTGCATTCATGACATTTTAAGAATGGAGCATGTCTCTTTTAGTATGCTGTGCCACGTAGAGCTGGATCATAAAATGCTAAAGTTTAAACTTAAAGGTTTGCCTCATTGACTGCCGGCGATGTCTCGAAGCATGATGCAACTATAGTGAGATGAATACTATCTTACACAATAAAACAGATAATGTTGCCATCTGACTCCACCCTGGCCGATATGTTATCACCCCCACCATAGAAACCAACATTTTAATACACACTTAACATAGAAATACAGAAGCAATGTTACAACTACAGATACGAAATAGGAGTTTATATGTTTCTAAAACCTGAAATTTTACGTGATTGGATAGTCACGAATCGAAGTCTACATTTTGCTCAAACTTTGTGCCATTACTGTGCTGCAAGAGTGAAATTTACCACAACTTACCGACCAATAACCTACTAATTGCTCATATATTTTGCTTGTGGCACTTGTGTTGACACCATGGTTTAGAGGTGCTACTGCAGGCAGAACTACTAATAGACTGTAATCAAGAGAAGGAGGGGGCTTGTAAAAGTTGTAAAGCATCAGCTGCTGTGGTTTGGAGATGGAAAAATGTGCTTCCTTTTAGGGATGGGAGTTAACATTGGTGTTATAAAAACATGTGGTTAGCGTTGCTAGAGAAAATGACCCTAAAACCTGCGGCCATGAAATTATTGCTGGCCACAAGAGGGATTTAAACTTTTGTTCTCCAGCGTATCGAAGCGTGGAGACCCTGCTTTCATGGCCACAAGAAAGAAACTAGTAGACACAGGTTAATCCATAGGCATGAGGAAGAGTCTTGACATTAATTCAGAAGCTGAAGTGCCTTCCTTGGCAGCCAAATGCATCACCACGCCCAGTCAGTGACTCTGCTGTCTCACAGCAGTTATTAGTTCCTGTCAGTAAAAAAAAAAAGCTGCCTAACATCAGCGTCTGCTTTTACAGTCCTCCATAACATATCCGCACTCTGCAACATTAACCCAAGACAACCTCACAGGCCAGATGAGCAGCACAATGGTAATTGGTGTGGACTAGAGGCAGCGTCTGCCATACGCACACATGCACACACATGCACACACATAAGGAGACAGGAGGCAACAGTGCAGCAGGGCAGTGAGGATAAGAGGTGAGACAGACTTCCACCTCATCCCAGGGCTAAACATGAGACGCAGGGCTCCCCCTGGTGCCAGTATGATGAAGCACTGTCCAATGCTTGGGGTGTGATTTAATTTTTTATTTTTTTTAAAGTATTACTCATTTCACGCTTGTCAGCTTTCTTTGAATTGGCCTCCTCTTAAGCAGCCCTTCTTTTTGGTTTCATCTCCAGTATCTCATCTCACTTTCCCTTCCGCCTTGTATTCTTGACGTCTGTCGTTTTTGTTGATATTTCTGCTACTTTCCCCTTTTGCGTTTTTCTTTCAAATCCCACACTGCCTCTGTAGAGTTTGTTTAATGTTTTTTTTTATGCTGCATGTCATGTATATGTGTTCTCGCTTCTCAAGATTTCGTTTTTGTTAATTCCAGATAAATGTGCTACAGTCCAAGAGAAGATCAGAAATCCTGAAATCAGTAAGCATACTTGTTTATCACATCAAATGACCTACACATCGTTCCTGCAGGTTGTTGGAATAATCACTGTCTTCTTCATAGATGCTGTCCTTCATGTACGCCCACCTGACTTTCTTCCACCAAGGTTATGACCTCTTCAGTGAACTGCAACCGCTTATGAAACAGCTAGGAGGACAGGTACAGTCTGCTTTGCACTGATATGTCGGGGTGCACACACAAACACATATATCTGTACTTCCTGTATGCCATATTTGTTTTTATTTTTAAATGGCGCTAGAAATCTTGAGTAATTGCAAATTGAAATATTTCACCGAACTCCCAGACAAACATGATTAACGTTTACGGAAGCAACCAAGTTCAAAACACAGTGAAATAAGCTGTCACAATTTAGTAAAAATGTAAGGAATACATCTGTTAAAAAGCAATTCAGTAGGGTTGTAATAGTAAATGGTCTGCACCTATATAGCGCTTTTATCCAAAGCGCTTTACAATGTGTTTCTCATTCATCCATTCACACACATTCATACACCAATGGTGACAGAGCTGCCATACAAGGTGCTGGAGCAACTTGGGGTTCAGTGTCTTGCCCAAGGACACTTGGACTGTGGAGGGGCAGGGGATCGAACCACCAACCTTGAAGGACAACTGGCTCTACCACCTGAGCCACAGCCGCCCTGTTGGGTTGTGTTGATATACTACCGTTACATTACCCAGAAATGGAGCATATTGACATCTTTTAACTCTTCACATAGATGCCATGTTACAGTTTGATGTGTTTTGATAAAGTCTCCACATACTTTGAGTTTTTGTGAGAAGGTGTGGAGCTCTGCTTCAGCTGTTAGATCTTACTGTTAAAATATTGGTGTTTTGCTCCATGTTTAGCTTCCCTCTTTTAATTTAATACTTCACATTTAGACTGCACCGTTCATTTCAAACTTGCAATGTTGTTAGAAGATATGATAAACTCATGAAGCTTAAACAAACATAAAGCTATTTTCAGAAGAGTAGCGGAGTAACTTTTTGCTAAGTTTTCATAACAGTGGCCTCTCAGGAGTAAACACTGTCTATTATGTAAGCAGGAACAATATTGTTTGATTACTGAAATGGGCATTCTTTTCCAGGGCCTCAGGGTTATAGGAATTGTTTCAGGTAGTGACTAAAATAAAACCTGGTCCCCTTTTTTTAGTCTGTACACATGCTGTCCTGGGTTGCATAATTAATATACAGTCTCCCTAAAGAAACCGTATGTGTGTGTCCACTCGGTCTGGTTTGATCATCTGTTCGTAATCTCCGGTAGTGACATAATGATGATATGAAAATACACATAAGTAAAACTGTAATTCGATCCTCTGCCTTCCCCTCAATGCGACCCGTCTCCCACAAAGTGTTTGTGTTCCTATCTGGTCAGTGTATGTATGCATGTGCTACGCTTTTGTCAACAGAGGTTTCAGCTGCGTGTGTGTCTGTGTGCATCCTCTGATAAACAGAGCCTTCCCTCCGAGCCCGAGCACAGCCCGAATGTGACTTTAAGATTGTTATCTCAGTGAAGCTGTAGTCGCAAAGAATGAGGAAGAAAGCAGTCAGAGGGCTGGAAAAGGGTTTTCCCACAGTCAGACTCACAGGGTTGACAGTCAGCTGAGCGAACGCAGCAAAGAAAGCCAAGCAGGATGCTCAAGGTTGTGGAATATAAACTGTTGGCTCTGAGGTTGAACCTGCAGAGCAGCTGAATGAAAGGACGATTTTCATCAGAAGTGCGTGAAAGGAAGGAGAGTAGCCACAGAGTGAAGAGTTTAGGAGGAGCAGAGATGCAGTGGGCTCTTCCGAAGAGAAAAGTGTAGCTTGTAAACATGTTTTCGATGATTGAACCAAAGAAAAAAATAAGACAAGGAACCATGCAGTGTTTTTTTGTGTTTTTTACTTGACAAAAAGAAGAAAGACCTTTTTGGAAGCCAGATCTGAAGAATCGCCTCCAAACTGGATTGGAGAGAAGAGTGTGGTTTTTACCCTCAAGCTCTGAAGCTGGAAACATCTGACATTGTTGATATCTAGACATTTATAGAAAAAAAGAAAAGACACAACGGAAGGGGGAAGACAGAACTACTTTGAAAAGCAGATTCTAGGAAGGGATAAGTGGCAGAATGTAATCTGCTCAAAGCAAAAGTGACTGAGGCAAAATGGAATGGCACGTTCTGTAAGCCTCTGGCTGCACCGCTCAAAAGACCGACGGAGAGAAAAGCAAGGATTGTGTGAGGAAAAAGGAAGAGAATTGAAAAAGACTGTTGAAGAAAACAGACCTTGAGAGGGAGGGGAAAAAAGAGATAGAGGGCTGGTTTCAAGCCGATGAACAACCGGAATATAACTGTGCTGTGGATTATAAGCCTGTCACACTGAATTTGGAGCAGTACAAAACCAAAAAGGAGAGGAAGATCAGAGGCCAAGCTGTGGGAAGCAGCAACAAGAGGATTGTGCATTATACCTTTTCTTCTCTCCATCATGAAGCTGAAGAAGGTGGAGAGGCTTTGCAGGGAGGTGTGGAGGAGCTGTCAACAGGTCTGGTAATATGACTTGATGCCTGTAACCAATGAGAAAGTGATCAAGGGCAGGAATACTTGCCAATAACAACAATACTAGTACAGTTTGGCTTTTAACCTTTCTATGGTAGATGAATAAAGTTGGCTCAGTATAGTACTGTTGGATGGGGCGGCTGTGGCTCAGGTCAATTCCGCCCTGTAACCTGTGTCATGGTCGTTGTGTCATTAGGCAAGACACTTTACCCACCTTGCCTGGTGTGAATACGTCTGAATGGATTGTTTGAGGTGGTGGTCGGAGGGGCAGAATGGCAGCCATGCCTCTATCAGTCTGCACCAGCTACACAATCGTAGCTACCACCACCGGAATGAATGTGTATGAATGAATAATTGACAGTGTAAAGCGTCTTTGAGTGTCTAGAAAAGTGCTATATAGATCTGATCAATTATCATAATTAGTAGAGTATAGAACATCGGGTGATGTGTGGTCTTGCATGATAATCTCACCACTGTGGTTGAATTTGCTTCGGAACAGAACACAAGAAAATTTGAATTGCCCCAAACCTCCAGAAACACAACTGATGTAATGATGTTAAAAACAAACAAACAAAAAACATTAGAAAATAGGAAAATTGGTTAGACTCAGTACATGCAGAAACATAAGGGATGTAATGATATTTTTTTTTTTTAAATGTTGGAAAATAGGAAGGCGGCTAGACTCAGTACATGCAGAAAGACTTTTACTTCACTGTTCCTGTGGTTGTTTGAGGATGAGATGAAACAGGAAATACTGACCAGGACCATAGACTTGCTGCCATTTATAGCTAAAATTGCGGATGTTCCATTTTGATCGTATGACATCCAACACGGATTCACATCATGTATGCTACTTTTAGCAGCTTTGCTGGTAGAAACAGTGAGACTACTTCTAGGTATGTCATGATTTGCTGATTGCATCTTTCGGTGACACAGAGCTTGAGGCTTGAACACATGTGACTTCCGTCAATGCGCTCATTCAAAAGCATGTTTTGTGTCTTTTCCATGAATCATAGAGCGTGTCACTGCAGCTACATGTCGAGTGTGATCTAAGCAGAGTGCCGTGCTGCTGTGGTCTGGAAGGCAGTGTGAAACATTGAAGGCAATTGTCTCTGCTGACATTGTCAGTGGGGGCTGCACAGTTTGATAGATAAGATGGTAAAGTTAACATGAGTCACAAAATATCTGGAGGGCTACACACAAACACATACCTGTCTTTTAAGTTACAGATGCATCCAGATAGACAGCATGGACCGGACTGGACTAGTTATGGTGCGACAAGGAAAAACATTTCCCATCTGATTTTATCTGCCTGCCGCTCTTCTGTCCACCCATTTCCTCTCCAAACAAAACAAAAGAGCCGACTCTCTCAAATTCTGTCGTCTCAAACTGCCAGATAGCGGCACGTTCATGTGTATTTTGTGAAAGAGAGAACAGAGTTTGATGTTATTAAAGCAGAATGCTGTTTTGCAAAAAAAAAATATTATTATATATAAATTTGAGCCGTCAGACAGGAAGTAAAATGTATGAATTTGCATCAGGTAGGCTTGAAGTTGTGGTAAGTGTTGAAATAAAAGCCTCCACAGCCCTTCTTAAGAGTTTCTTGATAACCTGCAATAATCTACATTTCCTTTTACAAAGATAATGTGGAATATAAAACATTTTCAAAAAAAGAGGTTAATAAGTTCATTATGGGGGATATTGGGGTCTGTAGTAAAAAGTCTGTACATGGTAGATAAATTTTAAATCCTTCAAAGTACCACAATTCTTTGTATGTGGTTTGCTGATGGAACTTTGAACCCTAGTCATCACACATTCACATGTATTCTGCACCCCTCCTCAATCACTGACCTACAATCACATAGGGACTCTTTTGTGTTCGGAGCTTCAGACTTTCTAAATTAGGTCACGCTGCAGAAACAGACTATCAAGAGGCATACAGTAGAATGTTGCTGCTGTAAGGCAAACTGGCACATTTTCGGCGTTCTCCTGTGACCTCCAGAACTTCACTGAAGCCCTTTTTCTTTAAAAAAAATTTGTTGCTTTCTTCTCGGCTCAAAAGATCCTTTGTTTTCCTCCTTACATGCAACGGTTACTCGCGGCGATGAGGAGAATCAATCACTTCCCATCCAATTTCACACATGACGAAGCCTTCGCAGCACAGTCCATTTTGTTTAGAGGAGAAAGCATGTCTTGTCTCGATCTGGCCTGTGAAAAAAATTGCTCATTTGCTGGAATCATTTTTACTCCCAAGATTGGAGAGGGAAGTAAAAAAGCATCAGTGCACACACACACGTGCATTTATAGGCAAAGTTGAAAGATGAACCTTTCATTTTAATCGACCAGCAGTGGACTTTATGACTGTCACATTATTCACTTCCTCACTGCTTTCTCTGTTAGTCTATGGTAAGATAAATGAAAAGAATTCAGTAGGCACATATTTTTCCTTGAATAAGCTGAAGCATTTTGTATATTGTGCGTTTGAATGAAATGCATCTGAGCAGTTGGTTTGGTCAGCTTGACTAATCACTTGTTCTGTCTCTTGCAGTTGGACCAGCTGGTGGTGGATGCTGCCAAAGAGAAGAGGGACATGGAGCAGAAACACTCCACCATCCAACAAAAGGTGCATAAATAATCACAATATGCCTTCATCTTCCCTCAGTTTTAAACAAAAACGCTCAAAGCACATGCGAACCGAAATAACATTTACACTTTTAAGACTTGGCACCCGATTGGTAATGTAATTAGCTTCACAAATGTGAATTAAAAGCATGAATGACAGCTACTGATGTCTGCCCAGTAACCGGAAAAATACACTCAATTTGATGCCGACATTGAAAAGCTACGTTGTTCTCGTATGTGAAATTACTTCATGGCTGCTAAATTCTTATTTCTTATTGCAGTTAGACATCTTACAATTAGTAGTAGTCAGAGCACTCTGCAGAGATGTTGCAGGATTTACTTCACAGCCATGTTGCTGTAGCCCCCTGATCCAAACCTGTCTCTCTACAGTCACTGCTTCCTGCCGTAACTCCTCTGAACACTCTGCTGCCTGAGTCCACCATACAACTACATTATAAGCTTGTGGAATTTTAAAGCACTCCAGATAAAAGCATTCAAGTCTTTTACTTTTAGGTCGGTAGATAACATAAGACCTAACAGCTGAACATTGAAAAGAATCAAGCTTGGATGATTTATAATTACAATTTACTTTAAGTAAATTAAAAAAAAAACAAACAAACAAATCAGTTCTGCCTAAGAGCAAATTCCCATACTGACCTATTGGTTTAATGAATTTGGTGCACTTTTGTCATCTGAGTGAATGGAGGTAGTACTCCACCCTCAGGTGTAAGCTGATCCTAAAGGATGATCTCAGCTACGCACCCATCAATTATTGACGGCTGACGGAAACCCATTTCCAAACAAACAAGGTTTGGTTTCAGCCTGACTCTAACCAGAACCCCCTCTGCTAACCTTAATTCCCCCATTAACTTTTTCACATATCGCCTTCTTGTAAACAGATGAAAGCAAAAATAGGATGCTTAAACTTTTAATTTCACCATTTTTTCTAGTAATTTAAAAGCCACCTCTGTTCATTTTTTATTTTTTTTTGCCTTTGATCTCTCTGGAGCTCTTTAAAACCTCCACAGAAGAAAAAGTAAAGCAGGATGTGGGTTGTTGTGTTACAATATGTGGTGGTAGTAAATTGCCCTGAACTTTAATTGTACATCACACAGCATCATTAACTCCACACAGCATCTGCCAGTTCTCTTCCCAGCTGTTGTCTGCTGGGCTTCTGCTAATTTGTCTGCCTGTCGGTGACGTTCGTTTTGGTCTCTAACTGTGTGCGACTTCTGCTTCGATGTCTTTCATTTGACATCCTTTCTGTTGTTTTCTTCTTCTGTCCTTTCACATTTTTTTTCCTCCCCGTCTCCTCGTCTCTGTACTTTCCTTTCATCCTGTCCTCTCTCTCTTCCTCTCTCTCCCCCTTGCTCAGTCAGTGATGGTGCCAACTCCTGCCTGTCCTTGAGCACCTATCCTCCGTCTCCCCTCCCTCCGTTTATCCAGATGCTATTTTTACATGGTCTTGCTCCCACTGCTCGCTCTTGTCTGGCTGTATGTACACAGAAACTCCTAACCAGTTGTCTCTTCTTTTTCTGCTACTTCTGCTCTTTTTTTTCACATCTCTTCCTCTTCTTCTACTCACCCCAGGCTGCTCTGCAGGTAAGCTATGTTTCTCTTCCTTTTTCCCCTCACTGTCGCTCCTCTGTGATGTCTGTGCGGTTGGAGATATATATAGTGTAAACTTAGCCGTCCTCGGTCAGTCACCACTTCTGCAGCTCACATCATTTTTCAAGCAAGACAAGTGCATGGGGTCATCTCAAGATTAAACTGTCATGCATGCTCCTGTGCATTTTTGCAGTTAGTGTGCATTTAGGTCAACCTCAGTTCATTCATCAGTTTTGACACTTTTTGCACGTGACTCTCCAAGAAGTAGTCTTGTCCAATTAGGTTCAGTTATTTACAGATGTTAAACCAAGTAGCTTAAGTGTTGATTTACATAGAGCAAGAAGGAAGGGTTGTATTTTATTAATGGGAAGTTATCTTGCAGTTGCTTCTAGATGAATTAAGCAAAGCAGGCCAATAATAGTGCAGAGGAAAGAAATGTGCTGCACTGGCATGTTTACTTTTTACGAGAAGAGAGCAATGTTTGATTCTGAAATGATTTGAGGATGTCTGACAGTGGTTTTATTCTGGTATATCTTTGGAGAAACCCAGCAGTCTATTACTTAATTAGGTATCACTAACAATAATACTCTTATTTGTCTCCGTCAAGTTCACATAATTCAAACTAATATAAGCCTGACGTTCTGTTATTTCACTTAAAGTTCAGGTTCAACAAGTTGCATGTCTGTTGCTAGAAACATGGTTGTCAACTCTGAGGCTTTTAAGCTAGAAGACAGGTTTTCTCACCACCAGTGTGTGTTGATGCTCTGGTCTCACACAGTTTTGGTTAACGGGTTGAAGCGCTGGTAACGTCTTGGAACCGTTTTAAAAGTGGTAAAGAAATTGCCGGTTTGTTGAAAGTGATAAATGACCCCATCAAACCCCCTGTCGTACATTTTTTGTGTACTTGCCCTTTTAAAGAAGAACGCGCTTTGCCTTTCCATTCATCGCTATATTGATGAAACCCTCCATCCTCACGGGAGTTTAACGTGGTCCTGAGGTTACGTTTAGTATTCTTTATGTTTGCCTGTGTGTGTTTTGCAGAAGCACAGACTGAACGATTTCTGTCTCATCTCATAAAGGAACAATTGTGGGATCATCAGTTTTGAAACAGCTGCAGTTTTAAAACGGTCTGATTCTCTTTATCTGAGGTTAAACTAGAGTCCCTTAGCTCACATCAACACTAAACGCTTTTTTCAGTTCATGTTAACCACTCAAATGCTACGGATATTCAAAAGATTGGCTACAGTAGTAACACACACACAGGGGAGATGAGAGAGTGAGGGGAAAAGCTGAGTGCACGTCTGTTAAACTGAAGTCAGTATAAATGTTTGATGCCTGAGCTCCTCTGCATGGTCCACTTGATTATTCTAACCCAGCAGTCACACACACACACACACAGAGACACACTCACAGGTGACCTTCTCTCAGAGGCCTCAGGAGGAGGAGCAGCAGCAGCGGCTGTGACGAAACTTTTGACAGACATACAGTCGCGTTAGAGGAGGTGGTGAGACTTTGTTGAGGAGACAGGCCGCCGCGTTGCTTCAAGTGGTTTCAATCACAGAGATGCCGCACAGTCACACTTTTAGATGGTGATGATTTGTCGGCCTCGAGGGGAAACGCGCTCACAAATTGGATCGCGTGCAAAAATCTGTGAAAGATGAAGATTTTCAGCCGGTTTCACTACGTTTGGTATCTGGTGAGTGCGTCTGTCAGCGCGTGTTTCTGTTTGTTCCATGCACGCGACAGTGCGACTGTGGCCTCTTGTAGTAGCAGTTCACGCTCTGCTTCTTACTTTGAGTTTTCTCCTGTGTGTACACTTATCCATTATAAATTGCTCTTTGTTGTTGTGAGGCAATGCAAATTTCTTTTCTCTGTGTGTCGTCCTCTCGCTATGTGTGACATTTTAGGAGGTGACAGAGATCGACAATTTGCCAGACTGCCGCAACTTTTGCGCTTGGAGGTCGACCTCCGTACGTAGAGTCAATGCATCGATTTCCGTCTGACTTCCGTTTTTGTAACCCTACCTGCCCCAGTCTTTCATCTCCCCCCCTCCCTGCATATGCTAAGGGACTGCATTGCGGTGTTTGTGTAGATATTTGCACCTTTGTCTGTTTTCTCGTTTTGAAGTGTAACACATGCATCGGTGGTGTCTTGATAATGCAGCATGTTTCATTTTGATGCCTCATTGTGGTTGTCAGTGTCTGCTAAAGTACACTCAGGTTGCTGGTTTTGTTGTCAAAGAGCGCTTTGTTGCTGTCACTTTTGCACATTGGATATCAAATGCTCGTATTTCTGGCGGAAACCTTGTGCGTCTTAAATGTTTCAGGAACTAAGAACAACAGTCTCGCCGTTTGACCACTACCCATTTTTAAATTGAAAATACTTTCCCAATCTCAAGCGGTCACAGAAATTTCTCAACTCATGAGCTGAAGCAAGAGAACCAGAAAGGTTTTCACATGACAGCAACAGCGTTGTGCTATTTGTCCTTCTTTGGTCTGATTCTTTCATTTCATGGTCACATAGTTTCTGCTTATGTGACTGGATTTACAGAGGCATCAGGTAGTAGGCTTCAGTGTCTTGTCATCTGTGGTACAAGGTGAAATCAGGTATTTCTTCATACATTGTCAAAACAGTTGTTAGAGTTATGTGGCTTCAGTGCAGTGGTTAATTTTGTCCCACCTCTAGGAAAAGGTGATTTGTTAATGCCTGGACTGGTACTTTCCATTGTCTTCCTATTCAGAAACTTAATATAGACACATTTTGTTCCCCTTATGCCCCCAAAAATAACCTGTCCCAGTATGTCATGCTGGAAAATTGTGTTTGCCTTCTGTGTTCCTGTGTGTGCGCACATCCCTGGTATCACAGGATAAAGAAGCTTAACTTGTTAAAGCTTTCTCTCAGGTTACATTTATATACTCGGACTGTGAGAGGGAATGAGACGGACCGACAATGTGCAGCCATGCACTTGAAGTAAATAGAGGCCATGAGAACACACGTTAACACGCTTAGAGACACACAAACATGCAGTATTTAAATCGACTGAGTGGAGCTTCAGGTCAGTCTTGTAGTTGGTAACATAACAACAAATTTCATCTGTTTTTAAAGCACTAAAACTGCTGTTTGACCATCAATTTAAATCAAAACCTCTTTGTATGAAAAGGAAAATCTGATTTTCATATCTTAAATATCCATATAAATCAGGAACAAGCACATGAGTCTGTACGAGCAAAGTGGGAGTCAAAATATCAACAGCGTAAAACTGAACATTTTGTATTTTCCCTTCAGGTTTATGTAGAATCCTTGTGTTTAGTGTGGTTGCTTTCCAGGAAGTAAACAGGAAATAGTAGTCATTGTCACCACCTGCTGAATCACTGAGGTCATTTCCAGAATGATCAACATTGGCCTATTTTACTTGCTGAGCCTACTGTCGGTGTTTCTGGGGAATGTTGTCGTCTGTTAAATGTTTTTGTCACAACTCAAGACTGATTTTACTGCACTGTTTAATGTACGTTTTACATTTGAAGATGGTCAGAACTTATGATGTGGTTACAAAACAGTTAAGAAAACAGTTTTTGCATTAGCTGTTCTCAAGATTTGAGATTGCTTTTGTTTTATTGTTTAGTTAGTTAGCTTTTCAGCAGCACATTTAATGATTTCTTAATGAGACAAGCCTGAGTTCTAACGATGTTTCTCGAAGGACAACAAGAGAGGTGGTTTCTCAGCTCGTTACAGTAACAGATCTCGATAAAACGAGCTGTAAGTGGTTGTGGAGACGGTGACACTTGGTGTAAACTGACTCCACAAGGACACACACATACAAATGCGCATGTGTGTGTCCTTGCGTATCGCGGTGTTCGGTGTCACTTGAAGTTGAGAAAGCTGGGAGGGTGTTAGGAAAGTGTGGCAGCAGCTCAGGTAGTTAAAGCTAGACTGACTACAGGGACGGTCCCATGACAACACATCGGATCGAGTTACAGCAGAGTCAGTGAGAGAAAGGATGTTACTTTACTCCTTAGAGGACAATTACTACCTCAGGAGCTAAAGTAATTTGTAAAAACTATGAAATAAAAGCCATATGACGCCATTGCCCATTGTAGTTTTTCATGTATCCAGTATATTTAATGTCGCTTCAGTCTTGTTTGGTACAAAAACAGAAGTAATGAGAAGATTGGCTGTTCTAAAATGCTGATTATATATTATTATTATACTTTCCCCATTTACTTTGTTGACTTCATTCTTTGTTTCTTGCACACAAAGTTTCTTGCTGGTTATGTATTATCAGACAAACCCTGTAACTTTTGGTATATGTTATAAACAATGTGCTGTTTAAATGTCAGGTCTCCACTTCCTACATAGAACATTTTGCATCAGCTGTAATAGGTTACTGCTCTCTAAGCTTCGGCTCTGGCTGCTGTCTTGTCTGGTTCTTGATGTGAATAACCACTGAGATCAGTGTGAGCAGCGGCTGTGCTGTGCTGCTTTGTCCAAGGTCACTTAGCTCGTTCCAGTGCTAGTCCTCATTTAGGAAAACTGCAGAGTCACTCATCTCCCCCAAGAAAACCATCAGCAGCAGCGGATTTATTGTGCTAATGAGTTTTTTAAAAACTATTTTAACACTGTCATTGTTTGCTTTCGGTTTATGACTTCTTCTCTTTCTTGTTTTCAGGATTTCTCGAATGACGACACCAAGCTGGAGTACAATGTGGATGCAGACAATGGCATCGCAATGGAGGGTTATCTGTTTAAAAGGGCCAGCAATGCCTTCAAGACATGGAATAGGTACAACAACGCAGTTTCATTTCAAGCTCTATGATTGCTTTGAAGTCCTTTTAATGATAAGAAATAGCCTCAGTGGGGTGATTATGGTTTTAAAAGGGAAACACTGTCATGAAAACTTAGGAGATGTGATCAGTGCTTTAGATTTTAATACCCCAGCAAGAGTTTTAAAAGCATGTTTTTATCAAAGTCACAGGATTATAATAAAGTCAGATTAAGAAGGAAGAGGTCATACATTAGTGGACAAATTGGGTGGAATTTTAGAAACATTCCCTCAATTAATTCACCTTTTTGCCTTTATCTTTTGACTTGTATAATGATATTTATACCTCTCGACACAAAGCTCCAGATAATATGTTATCTATGTATACTGTAGAGATAATATATATGATAATACAGATGAACCTTTTTTATGTCTCTCTTTTTATTTTATATATATATAGAACTTTATTGATCCCTTTGGTGCAAACCTCAGGGAAATTCTTGAAGAATTCTGCATGTTGTGTTTTTCCCTCTAACACGAACAATAGTTGTTTTCAGATTGCCACAGTTCATTGTGTTTAAATACCCCTCCCTGAATTAATTTATCTTCTCTCCGTCTCTCAGTATTCTCATTACTTCCTTCCCCACCAGCAGGATGTCAAAGTGTGTTATTTTAGGAGCATCACTGGCATGTGACTTGTGTTTTTTTATTGAACTTGTGATCTCCTTTCAGGCGTTGGTTCTCCATCCAAAACAATCAGCTAGTTTACCAGAAGAAATTTAAGGTATGTCAAGTGACTCCCTGCACGCTGACCACAATCAAATATGCATGTGTTTGACTTCCAGCACAAATACCCCTCCGTGTATTTTTAACAGCAGGCCGCAGCCTCACTTCAGAGCAGAAGTCGTCAACAGTCGTTAAGTGCGGAATAAACCACTGCTGTGTGTGAAACGTGTTTCGCTGTGTGTTTGTTTAATTAAATGCAGTCATTGTGCAGTTCCCACAGTCCTGGAAAAGTCACGTTTTTCTCTATTTATATTTTACATACATTGGCTGTTGGACACACTGCACTTGCACTACAAGTGCAGCTGACCAGTTTTTAAAGTTATAACCCATTTCCATAGGATAGGAATGGCATATTTCTCCATTACAGTTCTGTACTGTGATTAAAACAATATATCCCCTGACAGCAGTGTATTACTGTAAGGGAATCTGTTTAATATTGCAAGGGAAGAATAGCTATTGTTGCAACACATGTGAGCGACACCTTTTATCATGCTGTGTGAATCTAGTTTTTGTGTGTGTTTCACCAAAGTCTCTGTGCTGTTCCCTCAGGACAACCCTACAGTGGTGGTAGAAGATCTGAGGCTATGTACAGTCAAGCACTGTGAGGACATAGAGCGTCGCTTCTGCTTTGAAGTGGTGTCACCCACCAAGTAAGTTTCAGTCACTGAACTGAAATATCTCTCTCTCGGCCTAATGAGCCCTGGAATACATTTTGGGGGAAAAAAAGGTGTGGAGGTGGAGCAGTGTAGTATATTCAGAAACACTGTGAGCTGACAACAGCTGTGTGATGCTTGTCTGCCCCCACAGGAGCTGTATGATGCAGGCAGACTCGGAGAAGCTGCGACAGGCTTGGATCAAAGCTGTCCAGAACAGCATCGCCACCGCCTTCCGCGACAAGGGAGACGACGGCGAGGTAAAAACCAAACACAAGTTGGTTGGTTGGAAGGATGCACACTGACAAATACATTTTGTAGAAGATAAATCCAAAGAAAGACACACAGTCACTTAACTCCATACTCCAAGGTACCATTTGAGGACGAATATTTGTTCCTTCTCATTGACTGAGCATTTTTCCATCCCTCTCATGTCAGAAGCTGGATAGGAAATCATCCACATCGACAGGAAGTCTGGACTCTGGTGGGGAGCCAAAGGAGAGATCACTGAAAGGAGAAAGTGCCCTGCAGAAGGTCCTGGCCATCCCAGGAAATGCCTGCTGCTGCGACTGTGGCCAGCCTGATCCCCGGTGGGCCAGCATCAATCTGGGCATCACCCTCTGCATACAGTGCTCTGGCATCCACAGGTAAAGTACCGTAGTTTTTCATCTTCAAAAAGTCTGTTAATACTGCTGCAACTTTAAAATGTACAAAAATAGAAAATAAATCTGAATAAATACTCTGTACTGTACTTGTATTCACATCAGCAGCTTCCAGCTTGTTAAACACATATATTTTCTTAAAATAAAAATACATAATATTCAATAAAATACAGCATTTAGAAAATTAACTACTTGAATTGCGCCACGACTGTCAGGTAACTCTAGTAGCCGTAGGTGTCCACTCATCGATTGTGAGATCGACAGCAGATGAACTCAGTAACTCTAGTTTCTTTGTTTATAAATGGTTGATGTGACTTGCTTTCTAAAATGCAGTCGAGAAGGAACTTCATAAGAGGACTCAATTGCCTACAGCATGTGTTTACAACAAGAGCATGGTCACCTGCCGGTTGCTGTAAAAGCACATACGGCTTTTATCGGTTTGACCTGGTCTGAACTGTTAGCAAGAGGCTGCTTCAGTGCCAGCTGGGTTTGCACAGCGCTCACTTTCTAATCAGTGAGCAAGTTCGACATACAACATCCATGATAGCAGCTGAACTATGCAGGCATACAGCTTTTATCCACTACACCTGTCTTTGTACAGTGTTGTTGTACCAAACTGAGGGACGATAGCTTTCCCAAATAGCAGACTTTAAGCTCTGGTTGGTCTGTGTTCACTACAAGTACAAGGGAAGTTTCAAATTGAGTTGTACAGTGTACAGTGGCTGCAATCGTTTGGTACTCAAGCGTGCCAAACCGAAAGGACCACACTGAAACTTCACGGTACAAATACATGTACCATTACACCCTTATTAAGTAAAATATCAAACTAAAAGGAAAAATCTCAAAGAAGAGATTCAAAGAATGACACCCTGAAATAACGAGCATGCACATTTAATTGCTGTGAAATGAAAGAGCTTCAGAAAGGAGAAAGTCAAGGAGACTAATAAACTAAGGGATCATTAATGATGTATGTAATTTTCTAAAATTTTGCAGTTCAGTTAGAGTTCAATTACATTTCTTAAAAATAGAAATGATTAAAAGTATGAATGCTTATGTTAGTTATGGAAAACCATTTCCATCAGGGCCACAGTGTGAATGCCTTCGACAAAGTGTTGGTCTTTAGGGATTTATGAAATGTAAACTCACTCTTGTGTAAACTCACAGTCTGCTTGGGATGTTGTGACAACCTTTAATTACTTTCCAGGGTGAAGTATTTAATTACTATAGGGGCCAGTTTAATCTGTGCAAGTGTCCAGGTCTGTTCCCACGCTGTCCACGTAAAGCAGTAATCAGGGGGGATTTCTTTGGGTTTTTTTTGCTGCAACCACAAAAACAGCAGATCTTTCTTGTGATTACTTTAGTAATATTTAATTTAAGCACTTTACCACCTTAAAATCCTTAAATGACAACATGTGTGACATCTCTAAGTCTTTGGCACTTCACTCTAGTTATACCTCTGTGCCAGGGAATTTCTTTAAATGTGTTCATTTGGACTTGAGGATGGACTGATTACAGTTTGTTGCTAAGAGGTCATTGTGAACTCATATCCATCCACATCCATCTACTAAGTGCTGTAAACACACCAAACCTAAATCAATATTGGCCTTAAATACAGCACCTTGGCACACAGTTATTTTCAGGTACTTGGCAGATATTGTGTATTTCACAGTCAAAAGTTCAAGTAGTGGCCATTTCTCCAAGAACTACATTCTTTACATTCAGTACATGCGGTTTGTGTGATGACTGCGGCTCAGCCCGTGAGTCTGCGGACCTCACGTTCCATCTTGTGGCGAAAAACGTAAACTACACCCATGTTTGTTGAAAAGTATGACGATCTTAAAAGCTTTCCGCTATTAATCCTTTAAAGCCTTTCACAGTCAAAGCACGATGAGTGAATTCATTTGCTTATTTATTGCTTCTTTCATCTACAGGAGTCTGGGAGTGCATTTCTCCAAGGTTCGCTCTTTGACTTTGGATACATGGGAGCCAGAACTACTTAAGGTGAGTGAGGAGAAAGTATTTTAACAAATGGACATTAACGTTTCCAAACAAAGTCTTACTTGTAATTAAAGTGGTGCATCTATTGCACACACACTATTTTGTCTGCCTTCTTAATATGCTTGACAATCACTGTGAGATTCATCTAGCAGGTGTACCTGTAGAATACTGCGTAGTTGATTATCCAGCCGTGTTAAACAGTTCTTATTTTCTACATTTATCAGTTGATGTGTGAACTGGGCAACGGAGTGATCAACCAGATCTATGAAGCTCGGCGAGAGGAGCTGGGAGCCAGAAAGCCACAGCCAGGAGACCCGAGGTACACGACTGATAGAAAACATAATGGTATTTTCAGACCACAGGATTTATCTGTAAGTCGTGCAGGAAAAGAAAAACATTCCCAACTAGATAATTTCCTGGTAATTTTCTCTTTCTTTGTGTATCTTATATTCAGAATGTCTGTAGTAAATGCAGTATTTATGAAAAAACCTAAAGACTCCACAGGTTTTTAAAAATAGTACATTAGACGTTATTATCTTCCTATAGACTAATGACTTCAGCCTTTTTGTGAAAGTAAATTAAATAGCCCGTCTGTATTTGCAGTACAGCTTCTACATCAAACTGCTCCTGGTTTGAGTAAAATTGACTAGAATGTCAACTTTAATTCTCTTTTTGGTCATAAACTAGACATGTTTCTGTTTTGCTGACAGACATGAGGTAGAGGCCTACATCAAAGCCAAGTATGTGGATCGCAGATTCATCCGCCGGCCGTCGGATGAGGAGCTTCGCAACAAAGTGGTTTCTCTGAGCAAACAGGAGAAGAGGCTGAGCAGCAGCTCTGAGCATCTGCCACCGAGACCGCCTCCACCCACCCCGAAACTTCGACCCGCTTCTAACGCCTCTGGACAGTCAGGTCGGTACAAAACACGTACAAAGCACACCTTCAACTTATGGAACGACAATAAACTTTATTGGATTTTTTCCGGAGGGGAAGTCCATCAAGCTGTAACTTTAAAAATCACTGCTATTGGTAGCGTTTTGAGGAATTAAGTGTCAGAGTCAGTTGAAGTCAGGCGTTGGTGGATTATTTATTGTCTGCTTCCAATCAAGTTGTAAACTGGGATCTCCTGGAACTAGAACAGACTTTTTATTTTCTTTTTCTTTAAACGCTTCTCTAATTTTAACAGAAATACCTGCTGAATAGACAAATGAAACAGGATGTCAGAGTTTGGTCGTTTCTTTTTACAACCCCAGAAACAGAACCTGCCTCAGAAAGACAATCACACTGCATCAAGTATGATTGTATGCTCTTTTGTATGCTGATGTTTGAACTGCTGTGGAGAAGTGTCCTCCCATTGGCATACTGTGTGTTCTCTGTGAACAGCATATGTCTAAGCCCTCTTTGCCTCCCATTGCTTTTCGTAGTCTTGTCTCTTCCAGTGTCAGCAGAGCCAGTAGTCTAACTATCTGTGCTTCCACCCCGCCTCTCTCTTCTTTCTCTCAATCTCTCTTTCTCACTCTTCTTTTCTTTCCTACCCTGGCTGTTTTGTGCTTCCGGACTAACCCCTGATCATACCGCCTACCCTAAAAAACACCCCAACCTCCCACCTTGCCGCTCAATTTGCACCCTTCGCCCTCCAATGTCCAAACTCCCGTCATCCCTTGCGTAGCTGCTGCCGGCGGCGCGGAGGCTCGCCGCGACTCTCTCTTCTGTCCTGACGAGCTTGACTCGCTCTTCTCCTACTTTGACACCTCCTCCAAGCTCAGGAGCAGTAAGTACTTAAAAAGCTTAGTGTTTCGCTTGCTTTCCATCCCCTCTGTCCATTTGAATTCACTGCTTTGGGGCTGTGAACTAACAACCCTTCACCCATTCCTCTGTTCCTTCCTCATCCAGACCTTCCTAACACGTCATGTTTCGAGCATTGCAGAGCATACCATGTTTTGTTTTTTCCTGACGGGTGGGGGTTGTTTCTCTCACACATGGTTTTGGTCAGTGTCTGGTATTTGTACTTGTATCTGTCACCATATTTCTGTTTTTTAGGGACCTGGAACTTAAGGTGACTTAAGGTGGAGGGAATCTGTCATCCACTCCTCTTTTTGTTGCTTTCTGCCAGAAACTTGTTTGTACACTGAGAGTAGAAAAAATAAAAAATATCAGGACCACCTGCTGAAAAAATAGCACTTGTCAAAAGCTAGCAGATTGGATGAGGTACAAACACATAAAAACTTCAGGCTACATGTGTGATGATGTGCTAAAAAGGTTTCGCTTTCCACCACCAGAACGTTAGCAGCAAGGTGCTCCTTTTATTTTCTACACTCAGTGAATGACATCTGCATGTTCTTCAGCAAGTACCGATTCAGACCATTTGTTTTACAGTAAAGAGTGCAGACAGCGGCATTCAGAACAGCGCTGATGGGAGCAGGGAGATGCTGGTCACCACCCCCTCCAATAACAGCCTGACGGATGCAGGTGAGATGCGCACATCGCTGCCTCTCTGGGCATCTCATCGACAAAGTGATACAAGACATGAGTACAAGGGCTTACGAAATGATGCCTTTTTCTTCTGTGCTGGTGCTACGATTGTAGGAGAAGGATGAGTCAAGGTCATCATGCAGTCACTAGCACTTGATGACAGATAATTATGAGCTAATACAGCATAGCATTCATGCATTTAATGTTGCATTACAATGCAATAAAGATCAAGAAGAATAAGCTGTAGGTGTTTTCCAAGCTGATTAAATAAGTAAAATAAAGCAAAATGTGAAATTCTACTTTACCACCAGATTGTCAGGGTGAATACGGTTTTCATTTCACACATACCTTTCTTTCCATCTTCCAGATGCTGCTGAGTCTCCGCCCATGCCCATGCCCGCCACACTGCCTCCTCCGTCACCCTGTAAGGAGATGGTCTTCTACGAGCCCAAGGAGTACAGTCCGGGTCTGCAGCTCTACTGGGCGTCGTGCGCCCGCAGCCTGCCGGACATGGCGGAGGCTTTAGCCCACGGAGCTGAGGTCAACTGGGTCAACACAGACGAAGAGAAGAGGACGCCGCTCATCATGGCGGTGCAGGGGGTTAGTATGGCTGCAGGAACCTTTGGTACCATTTACTGTCTTGACTGGATAGTTTGAAGGACCAACAAAGAAATGAATAAGAGTCTGTCAAGAGTCACAGTCATCCAGGTCATAGTTATTCTCATAGCCTAATCGTAGCAACTGGACGTGCTTGAGTACCTTGAAGACATTTCACCTCTCATCCAAAAGGCTTCATCAGTTCTGACTGACTAGCTGGGAGTTCCAGACACTTATATTCTTTAGGAGAAGCAGTCAGTCAGAACTGATGAAGCCTCTTGGATGAGAGATGAATGTCTTCTATGATTGAACTTCAAGCACACCGTTTCTACAAGTGCTAAGATTAACGATATGAACACTTGTGCAAACAGTCTATATTGCTTGTGTGAGAATTGAAAAAATCCAATTCACATAAACTCATATCAATGTTTAATTTCAGGGTTCGCTGGTCACCTGTGAGTTTCTGCTCCAAAACGCAGCAAATGTGAACCAGCAGGACGCTCAGGGCCGAGGACCCCTCCACCACGCCACCATGCTGGGACACACAGGGTTTGTTTCCTCATTTCCCTTCCTTCATTACTATACAAACTGCTCACTGAGACAGCAACATTTTTGGCCATTTTAAAATCGCTTGACCTCAAAACTCCCCTTTTATTTCTGTTGCAGGCAAGTGTGTCTGTTCTTGAAAAGAGGAGCAAATCAAAATGCTGCAGACATTGATGAGAAAACGCCCCTGACCATAGCAGTGGAGGCAGCCAATGCAGATATTGTCACGCTGTAAGTATCGCTGTTATCCCTTCCGTAGTAATGTTTTCTTCAATTTAAATGCTTCTGCAGATGGTTAAGAAAGTAATTATTTTGAGACTGAGATGTGGAAAAGCTTGGCAAAGTCGTCATCGTCGATTCTAAAGGCTTAAAAGCTTGATTCAGCTCAGCTAAAGTGACTGCCAAAGTGTTACTACTTAATCACATGAGTCTCAACAGAATAGAGATTGCAGTTTTTACTTGTATGTGTTAAACAAAGGCCTTTAGCTGAGCTTTATATGTGTTTTTCAGTTCCAGACCCCTGAAAGAGTTACCGTAAATTCTGGACTATTAAGCGCACCTGAATATAAGCCGCACCCACTAAATTCAAAAAGACAACAAATGTGTACATATACAGGCCGCACTTGTCTAAAAGTCCACGTTGTAACATGAGATATTTACACAGAAAGATTTTTTTAAACTTTTAATTAAATACATACCGGTAACATACACAAATAGGTACCCTAAGTGCTTTTTTTCCCAAACAGTGCCTGTAACATGGCTGAGAAAATAAAGAAAATAAAAACTACAGTAGCCTACCAGGAAAAGTCATTGATCAGTCTCTCGTTTGTTGTGGCTCTCAATGTCACTTTCGTCTCGAGGCAAATTTGTAAAACTCGGAAAAACCCATAAATTAGCAGCATCATTGTTCAAAGCGTGTGAAAAAAGTAGCAGCTTATAGTATTTACGGTAAATCTAAAGAGCCTGTTTATTGACTATATCAGGTAATTGTGGCTCTGTATAATTTCTGTCTCTTTCTGCTCCTCACAGGTTGCGACTGGCCAAGATGAATGAGGAGATGCGGGAGGCGGAGGGGCCTTACAGCCAGTCAGGTCAATATAACACCAACAGCCCCACCGAGATGCAGTACAGGAAGTGCATGCAGGAGTTTATTAGCCTACAGCTGGACGAAACCGAATAACTCGTCTAAACACAGGGGCAACTAAAAACCAGGCTTCAGACGTGTAAAGCTCAGGTTTCAGAGTTGGGCTCAGTTTACTTAAAACAGTAGATGAAACTCGGTGTGAAACCACAACTAAACCAGACAATTCGCTCTCAGCGGTTTCATCGCAAATTTCAGCAACTATTTCCACGAGGCTTCCAGGTTGGAGGACTGTGATCCTCTGACTGATTAGAGTGAACTGAGCCCAGCTCTGCCAGATGTGCTCCTGTGTCCTGCTTCCGTTTTAACCTTCCAGCTGCTGCCAGGTGCTGCACCAGCTCCGTGATGTCGAGCAAGGTGCTAGACCGTGTTGATGTGACAGAGTTAAAGCCATTGACTCTGGACGGTACTGACGAGTTTTGTTCCAAAGCGGAACATCCTCCTCCTCTTCCATTACGTGACTGTTACTCAAGTCAAATTATTGAGAGCACAAAATGGAAACTAACGGTGTTACTTTCTACTTTAAGTTTAAATGTACTGCTCGCTGATTTCCTCTGTTTTAGAGGTTGTTTCAGATATTTCTAGCAGCTGAGTAAAAGTATTTTTTTATTTTTAAATAGGTTCTGTGCGTCTTGCTGACAGTCACAGTATCTTTGCAAAAAAAGAAAATCTATCTACCCGGTAACTGCCACCTGTACACAGTGACGCTCAGACCTCAGAGGGACGGCAGTTTTCACTACAGTATCTGGCAATAATAGTGACTTTTGAATGATATTTTTAATCATCTGACCAGTCTGTGTGTCTGTAAACCAAGTTTCATTTTCAATTGACCTGTCAGAAGAAATTTATGCACATTCCTCTTAATGTTTATGCAACTTCTGTACCTTTTCCCATCTGAAGTCTTAACCAGTTTGAAGGCCTGTTTACTTATTTGTTGTCCAAACATGATGCATCTTGCTGTTGTTACATGCCTGATCAGAAAGAAAGTCTATTTTAGAACAGTTTTCTTTTATAAAAAATAATAACTGTAGGAACCGTATAATGATGATTCTTACTGTACATGTTGTAAATGATGTGCATACATACATTTCTTTATAGTGTGTATTTGACAGAGTTCAGAGTGACTCTGGTTGCACAGGGGTGAGTGCCATGAGGACTCTGTGTTCACATCCTTGCGTTTCTTTATTTGATTGTGTGGTATTTACTTCCTCTTATGACAATATTGTGTCCTTGTTATTAGTCGGTTAAGTGTGCTTGCTCATTGCCTGTAATCAAGGGAAATCCAGAATTGTAAAGATGAAGGGCCTTTTTGTGCCGTCGCGCTGATCGTCTCGAATGTTGGTGGATTTTTACTCAAATATAGACAAACCATTCGAGGATGGTACATCGTCAAGCAACAAGTGCAATAGTCTAGAAAAATATCCACATGTAACCATGTATAGCTTTGTATCACCTGCTAGTCCTAGCTTATATTTATCTTAATCATATGGGAGCTTTACAAGTTAAAACAAAAAAAAAAGAAAGAAAGATATCTAGATATTCACAAAGAATGTGGAAAGAGTTGAGCACGGTGCTCATTTTAGTTTCGTCGATAGTGAATGAACGATTGAAATGTACCCCAGTTTCATCCCACATCTCCGCTTCATGCAGCCCAAAGTCCTCGGAGGGCACCAAAGCACTTTGATTAAATGTTCACTGAAAGAGCAGCTGCTGCTGGCAGACCTGCTCGGAGATGTGCTCGGCAGTTAGAAACAGGGTTTACCGATTGTGTTGATTGTTTTTACAGGCAAATAATGGTCTTCTGTTTGTTAGAGTAGATGCTGGGGGGGGTTTCGTTATGGGGAGTTTTTCTTAGATGGTGGAGAAAAGGGATTTATGCATTTCTGTGTGCTGACCACAGGAGGGAGGGCTGAGCTCACAGATGTCATTCATTTGTCCTTAAAGAATGGAGACGTTGCACTGAGGTGTAGCCGGACTGTTATTAGCCTGTTAGCTGCTGTCTGTTAGAGGTGGAATATCTTTTGTGGTCGATCATGCTTTTAAATAGTAAGTTAGGAATATTGTGGACCTGAATGAAAACAAATGACTAGAAGTGCTTGTTTTTTTTTCTTTGTTTTTGTTGGGTTTTGTTTTGTTTTTTTTTTAGATTGTGAAACGTTTCTTGATAGAGATTGATTTAAAAGGTCAACAACAGATAATCTAGACACAATGGTGAGAGGAACAGAAGGAGGTTTGTGTTTTAGCAGAAGGAGCAGCGTAGAGTCTGAAGTATGTGCTTCCAGCCGCTGAGTGATCCTGGTTGTGCTCGGCGGGAGGATTGGCCTTGCTGCAGGCATCAGCTCCGTCCTCTTTGATACCTTAGAGCCTCTTCATCAGCGCCTCCAATCAGCTGATGAACGATGGGACTGATGAGGGATATTCAGGGGTAACGAATGTGAGGGAGACCTAACCTCATCGCACCTCCCTCGCCTTTTTATTACAGTTGCAGTTCTCTTGACTCGAGTGTTTCTACCTGATGAAGTGTGTAGAAGAAGTGCAGAGCAGCGGTTCTCCGTCTGGGGGTTCCTCTGGGGGCATTTAAACATTGATTTTTTGAAATCGGGGGGGAAATATATATTTTTTCAACATAATGATTATTCTTTTAAGATTTTCCTACATATTATTTTCTTTAATCAGTATTTTACGCAGTCTTCTAAGAGCTGATTTCAAACCGAAAAAAGGGGGAAGTGTTCACTTAGACTGAGAACCGCTGGTCTGGGATAAGACGAGGCTCTTTCTCTTCTATAACTTGCTCTCATTCACTTCTCTTTGTGTAAATTCGCTCTCTCAGTTTTTGTATTTTTTTTCTTTTCTTATCTCACTCTCCTCCCCAGAGTTTGTGCCTTTCTTCTGTTCTCTTTTTTCTTTGGGGTGCTGAGGCCAACACAACTGTATTTTTGTACATAAACTCCTGCACTTTAAACACAATACAGTTGTTGACAAAAAAAAAAACAAAACTGCTGTCTGTGGGCTTGTCTTTTCTTTCCGAGTCAGTCTCAAGTTTCCTCGCCGGCTGTTTTCTTAAACATCTGCCTTTTGCTTCTTCTGTTCTTGCCGTCTTCTTCTCCCTCTGCGTTGTTCTGTTTCATGTTTCGAGCCACGCCGATGCTCTCAACAGGTATGGCCAACTTTTTTCTGTTTCATTCTCGTTGATGACACTGTCGCTGCATGAGCTCCCCGTTCTGCTAAACAAACTCTGTTGATGCATGTTTTTTTTTCTGCTCTGCAACTGTGTAATGAGGCCAGAAATGATGCTCTACATTATGTCGGTCAGGTCTGTGATCACCGATGCGACACTGATTAGTTTTGAAGACTTGCGTAATGATTATTTGATTTGATTTAGTTGCAGCAGGGTGGTGCAGAAGAGCACGTGTCCTGCCTGAGTCTGTTTGAAATCCTGTCTGTCGAATGCGTTTGTGAAGAAAGTTCAGATTTTAGCAACAAACATAGTTATTAAACCACCTGCTGTGAAGAAAATGTTGTGCTACAGATAACATTTTCACTGTTGTGATGCCCTTTCTTTGTTCTGACCTTAATTTATGAGCAGCTCAGTGTTTTTTCTTTAGTTTGAAGGGGTTTTACGGGCCTCAAAAGGTCAAAGCATCTCGTGAATTGTAAGAAATAAAATGTAAAGATCAGAGGAAAATCAGAAAAATAACAAATGTTGGTGACCGTTGCTTTTTTGTCATTTAGCGCATTTGTCGTCGCTCACGTCTTTTGTCCTCGTCGTTACAGGAGATGAAACCTACCAGGACATCTTCCAGGACTTCACCCACATGGCCTCCAACGATCCGGACAAGCTGAACCGCTACCAGCAGTACGACTCCCAGCGACCCTGACACGCCGCCGGAGCGCCGTCCACCAGCGGTCAGACAGACTTCACAGAAACTCAAAGATGCCTGGAATGACGTCCACTTTCCCCTCCAGCATCATTCAGAAACTACTCTACAGCAGCCGTGCTTAGCTGTGGCAGACACACGTATCTACAGCTCCCTGTCATCACGTTAATTTTATTTGTCGCTTCAGTCAAGTGAAGGGGAACGTCTGTGAATGGACCTCGCTTTTTTAAAAAATCTTTTTAACCTTCTCAGCCTATTCCATTCACTAAATGGTACAGTGTTAAAGCCTTTGATTTGCTGCGAAGGCACAAGTCGAGTGATGATTGAACTTGGTCTGAATGTAGAGCTGCCATCGAGGCTGTCAGTTATTTTGACCCAGTTTCATTTTTCATGTTCCTGATAGAATTTTCTTTCTTTTTTAAGTATATCAAAAAAGTGTGCTGCATCAGTAAAGAGCTGTAAAGACAAGTAAGTACACGACAGACTGTTAAAGACGTCATTTCATTTTTTTTCTTCAGTAGGATTCTCCGTATGAGCATCGTTTTTGTATCAGTCTTGCTTTAGAGAACTCTCCGCAGCAGCCTTATACGCGGCAATACGCTTTTACTTATTTGCACAAAATCGCTTTTTCTTAAATCGCCACCGATGTTTACCAGTTTTCATGGTAACTTTGACACGTTAAACAGTGTACAGTGCTCACGGAAGCAAACCTGTTATTGATTTATCTGTAATGTTAAATAGATAGTAGTCGATTTGAATGGATTTTTAGACGCTTTGTTATTTTTCCACGCGTTCTCCTGAATGAATTAGTACCTGCAGTCGGGTTTCAAAACTCGTTCTGAAATGATTGTTGATTTGTAGATTCACTCTCCAGCCGATGAGACGGTGTCGACCTGCAGAATATAAGAGGCCATCGGTGCTCCCTCCACCGTTTTCTAAACATTTCTTTGGGTTGAACTGTGTAATCTGGTGTTAATTAGGAGGAATGTTCCTAAACACCTCCATGAAAATCTGAGTGAAAGTTTAGGTACATCCTTTTTTTTCCCCTCCTTTGTCACCTGTAGTTACGACGAAAACTACAAGATCCAGAATTCAGCAGCTCCTTCATCACAAACACAACAGAAAAGCTCCTGGCATTCGTTTACAGCACGACCAAACAAACACACTTTGTTATTATATATAATTCAGTCGGTATAAATACATCCTTCCATCCATCATGTCACTAGAAACCACAGGCTGGTTTCATTCTGTGCACAGCTTTCAGTGATCGGCTTTCATACAACAGCAGTGAAGCCGGTCGTCTCGCTGAGGAGTCGGAGGTGTCCAGAACGTCGCCTGTAACTCTTCATATACAGTCGTCCTCAAATGTATTCACACCCTCCCATTAAAGAAGGAAAAAAACACTGAAATAAGTTGAAGCTGACAAATGTAACAATAAATAAACATGTAATGAAAATCGTGACGTTGCTTTTGAACTGTGGCTCAACAGAAATATAAAAACAAAGCAAGCATGATGGGACCCGTAAACTAATACTATGTTGAACACTCCTTTGAGCCAATCACTGCCATCAAGTGTTTTCTGTAACTCTCAGTCAGACTTCTGCACCTGTTGACAGGTGTTTGGATTTCACTGCTCATCAGCAAAGTGCATTAATTTGTCCGGGACAGTTTTATTTTGTTTTTTTAATCATTCTTTTTAACCACAATTCAAAAAATTTTTTTTCTTATTTCACTAAATTATAATTTAGCATATTTTTATTTATTATTAAATTTTTCAGTTTCTAGTTATTTGAGTGACTATTGTGGATTTTGCTTTTCTTTAATGGGAGGTTATGAATACATTTGAGGACAACTGTACCGATCAGCTCGCTAAAAATCCTGAAAATGTCTGTTGTTTTGTAGACAAGCACATAAACAGCAGCACTGCTTCTTTTCCCACGAATCACTTGTGTGTAGATGGACCAACTAAAACCCTGCCACTAACAAGAGCAACCACTTTATACGGTAGAAAGGTGAATATTTAAACACATTGAACTGATGGTGCCGACACATTACTGACCATCAGTTGTTTAGTTAAAGTCTTATTAACTCATATTCTTACCTCACTGATCTGCACGTATGGAAAGTTTCTGTCATTCAGGCAGAGAAGTGGAATTAATCAGATGGTCGGCAGGCAGCTGAACTGTCTTTTAGCCAAGATGAGTAGTAAAATTTAGGAAGTCAGTAGGAAAAAAATTAGAAACGTGTTAGATGAAGTGTTACAGAATGACCACGGAGGCTGTGTAGAAGCTTGAGCTGTCGTGTGTTGAGGCGCCTTCAGGTGACATCCTCCAGTCTGAAAGTGAATTCTGCAGATCTGAAGACGAGGTTTAGTTCTGCAGGATCTGTGATGTTCTCTTTGACACACACAGTAAGACGCGACGTTAACCACAGAGGAAGCCTTTTGGCCGACGCTACATGGGATACAATTCTTGTACATTTTGTACAGATGCTTTTGAATTGAGGACTGAAGTATAAAGTTAGTGGTACTTGAATCATTAAATAAGCTTTTGTATATGCTGTTCTTTGTATCCTTCCATAAGTTTAGCCCATTTTATATTGCCTGTCTGTAAACCAATATACATGTGCTGTACAATATACCTGTAACATGCAAGGACTTCAATACACAAGATTCACGTCTGAGTGATGGTTCTTCTTTTGTTTTTGGTTTGATTCAACGTTGTCAGTGGGTTAATGTACTCTATGAAGCAAGACTTTACTCAACTCGTGAAGAAAACATGTTTCGTCTTTGAGTCTTTTCTATAAAAATCTCTCAACTTGTTTTCACATATCCATTAAAATCCTCGTGAGCAGCACTTGTACCAACATTTAATCTTCTCTCAGGGAGCTGAACACCATCAAAGATAAAAGTCTTCATTCAAACCAACATGTGTAAAAAATAAAAATAACTCGCAGCCAAAAATATTTTACACATTTCTCCTCCTCTCAGTAAGTCTCTGAATGTTCCTCGTAACCACAAAGTTTTTTTTTTAAAAGCAAAGCAGTAATCCATCCTGTCAGCTATTGTACGCTCAGTGTGCTGATGACGCTTCACAATTGGCCCATTACGTGTTGCTTCTTATAAAGAGGATGATCTTCTAATTCGAGGTACTATGATTACAAGATAATGAAAGGCCTCTAAAGATGCTCCTGTTATTGAGGAGCAGAAACTCTGACATCTCCGTTTGTTGCTCATAATGTATAATTTCAGCTAATTCCACTGTTCTGCTGCCCGTTTCCATCGTAATGACCGAGAGCGTCAGTCACAGACTAAACTTAAATGATCTAAAGTCTTAGAAACGTGTCTCTGTCCCTTTAAAGAAAGCAGATTTGTAGAAGAACAACTTGAGAGCTGTGCAGATGTTCCTCAGACAGATTAGTGTTTTTATGTATTTATAGACATAATTGTGTGTATTTTAGACTCCAGAAGGTCTCATTTGTCAACATAATAGATGTGTTTCACTGGAGTTTGGGGTCACAGCTTGAATGTTTTTTAATGTTGGACTTGTCTTGTGCTGTGGAGAGGCTGCGCCGCCGCTCGTCAGGTCATCTTATCGGTCGGTGAAAGGAGAAATTTTGAGATGTTTTTAATTCTGTTGTTTCGGTGCTGCGGTGTTAATTTTACTTTGAAGGAACAACCAGAGTGATTTGTGTGTCCAGCAGAGGGAGGGCTGCTGTGAATTTTTCATATTTAAGAGACAAATCCTTGACCTGTGCAGCCTGAATCAGATCCTGAAACTTTATGTAAGTCTGAGTTTCTCAGGTTTTTTTTTTGTTCATTTATTCACAAAATCGATGGTTTAAAAACTCAGCTGAGCTCCAGTATGTCTTTTTTTTTCTCCAAAGATGAATGACTTGTTTCTCTTTTATGTGTTTACAGCAGTTAATCGTTTTATTTATCGCTGCAGATTAACCACACAGCTCCAGCATTAACACTCTCTGTTAAACCCCGAACGGAGATAAAAAACTAAACGATTTTTTGAAGAGACAGCTCGTCGATGAAGTCATCCTCGTGCCAATCTTGATGCGAGTCCATTAATATATTTCCCAGCCTCTTTCCATCTCTAATAATTACAGCCTGTTTATTTCTGCAGCTGTTTAAATGGGAGGCCGGTTGTGCCACCACTTCACATGAGTTATAGCGTCTGGTTGTGTGTGTGTACAGTAGGCCAACGTGTGTGTTTAGTCTGCTGCAAACTAATGTTCCTGAAAACACATCCTTTGTCCAACGACGACTGCACGATCATGATTCACCTCAACACGAGTGGGCATGTTAAGAACGACAAAGTGCTGCGATGTGCAGGTCAGTGACCTTATTTAAATTAAATGACATCACTGTGAGCAGCACTTCAGCTGTCCAGTCTGTTCAGGTGCTGCTCATGTGCAGAGACTCCTACACCTTTTTTTTTTTCCCACTCAGGATGAAGGTTGACATGAAATATACGCTGCATACGATCGGAGCGAGTGGAAATATGCAGCACAGCAGAGTTTCTTTATGCACCTCATTCATTCATTCCCTCGGTGGCCATCGTGAAACCTGCATTTAGCTTTCAAAAAGAAATACTGGAGGTCTCGGCTGCTTCGGTGCGCACAGAAAGCTTTAATGTCACGCATTCCCACCTGGAAGTCATACTGGAAACGTGGCTTATAAAATGCAGCCTCACTGTTCCTGGACTCTTGAGGCAGATGTCAGGCCTTGGAAATCTGATCTGGGTTTTGTGATAAACACGTAATAATAGATAAAAGTTTTCTTGAAGATCCATAAATGTTTAAAGATCTTTAAAAAAAAAATATTTGTGACATTAAAATTCTAATTAAGTTTTACATTTTTTAGGTGAAAATTAAACCTGCCAACACCTCATTGGTTTCTGTATCATAACTGTGATAATTTGGCAGTTCTGTTCTATGTATTACATATGTGTTGGATTATATCAGGTTTTCTATTGCAAAAATTTTTATTTTTAGTTAACAGAACATTCCCACTGGTCTGCTGTAGTTTATTTATGCATAGTGTTCAAACCATGATGTGCCGATGAGCTACAGCTTTACCTCAGGGTTCTATCTTATCTTGGTCTGGAATGAGGTGGATGCTACATGTCAAACGAACATCCACATGAACATCAGGACCCAAACCTTCCCGACAGAACATTGCATTGTGACGAGATGATCTGTGTTCAACACGTCACCTGTCCGTGGTTTTAATGTTATGGATCTGAGCTTCAGCAGAGCTGCATGTGGGAGATTTTAAAGTCCCTCTACAGTCCAATGAAACCCTAAAAACTCTCCTCCATGTGTCAAAGTATTGTTATAGGTCACAATCCCTTTGTGCCTTAACCCTATTCAGGACTTTCATGTTGCCATACGTAGGAGGTCTTTCGAGGTCCACTGGACCCCAAGAAAGAATACATGCAAAATATTTGTTTGTCTTCATTGTAGACTTTTATACTATCCTTCCATTATCTATACACCACTTAATCCTCACTAGGGTCGTGGGGGGGCTGGAGTCTATCCCAGCTGACTCAGGGTGAAGGCAGAGGACACCCTGGACAGGTCACCAGTCTATCACAGGGCTACACTTAGAGACAGACAACCAAGCACACTCACATTCACACCTATGGACAATTTACAATCACCAATTAACCTCAACCTGTTTTTGGACTGTGTGGGAGGAAGCCGGAGAACCCAGAGAGAACCCACGCTGCACGGGGAGAACATGCAAACTC